TCACAAGCCACTGTGGCTAGTGGTTTTCCAAAGTTACTAGCCACTCAGCATTTTCACTGGCCATAATATTGACATCAATACCATCGGAAAAAACTGCCATATTGATATCATATTGGCAGCAGGTATATTAGGCTGCTGTCACTTTAAGACCTGACACACCGATCCCTTATACTATTACACATGCGTTTTTTTCTCAACATTCACTTAGAACATAACTGACTGCGTTTACGTGAATACTCACCAAGACAGGCATTTTGACATTATTTTGTGTGTACTAGACCGTTTAAGTGCAATAAGACAGCGAAAGCGAACTTAAGATGGCTTTATGTGTGTGCCACTTTGGGTGTCAGCACAAAATCTGCAGGAATGAGTACAATTTTGCGCAATACACGCAATCCCACGGCAAATTCAAGCACTGAAACACCAAAAATATTCATCTAGAGCAAATGAAACGAGTGAGGGAAGGGGGGTTTGTGTGTCAACTCGCTGACAGAGATGAGAGAGCGAGAAAGCACAACTGGTATTGTGTATATATTCTGTTTAAAATGACCCATTGGAAGCGTTTCAGATACAGAAGATTTCAGTATAGTTATATATCGAAAAGACTATATTTTTGACAATGCACTTAGTTTATTGTTTCAGATGCCTTTTTAAAATACTACAATTGAATAATATATATACTGTATTATAAAGTTTAACCCGCCAAAGTGGCTAGTAAGAGTGACTGCGTTACACGGGTTGGCGGGTGTTAATGTCAAGCCCTGGGGTAGTGACACTAAATTATCTTACCAGTGCTGATGATGGTCTCTATCCAATTGGGGTCTTTGATCTTGAAATTAGCTAATGACTAATACAATGAAGCTCATATCTTGCTTTCTTTGACGTTAAATTTGCATATAGCGTGGGAATTGAAGATAAGATTTATATTCTTTTTGCGGAGACACATTTATGTTGCCAAGAGTAAATGGAACAGTTTTAACAAAACGAATAGCTATCAATGGATAATGGAAATTACCTGCCGCAAACTCTTCAATAGTCATGAGCGGAAAGCGAATAAGGGAAAGCGATTTTCCCAACACTCTACGCTTGTTCTCCGGCGTGGGCTGTAACTGTTGCCTTTGGGCCTCAGCGTCCGCCCAACGAACCGCAGCCACGAAGAGACGCACTTCCCGTACACCCAGCGTGTCTCTCTCCAGGACTGCCATGAGCGTGTCTGCACAGGAGGGAACATAAAACGCTCTATTTCTAACTCACTTTTCTGATTGTATTTTGTTGTGATATTTGAGCAGTTGATACTTAAGAGCAATACCAAGGTCAATATCTGTGAAGCCCTCGGCGGCTAGTGCATCAGCTGTGTTCTTGTCGATATTTTCTAAGCAGAGACTAGCCAGCTGGGGCTCGTCAAAAAGCCGTGCCTGAAAGCAAAAGGAAACATGTTTTCGTGTAATCTATAAAAGATTGTTCACAAAAAGCAGACAACAAACACACTCAGTAAGCACCAGGCTCTGTTTGCTAGAATTTGAAAGGGAGCTGTCAAACATGGGGACTCAAGACGGCCGTGGGCCCACCTCGAACAAAGGTGTCGTTCAATATGTCAGTTCCAGGGTGAACATGAAATCCGACACAAACCCCTGTGATTACCTGGGTAAGCAACATAAACGCATTGTCAGCACGTAGATTTTTCTTCAAGAATTCGACGCAGTGGGCCTCGAGTGCAGGTACTGCGTACTTTTTGGCTGTGTACAGTGTGGTCATAACGGTCTCTGGTCCAATTTGCACTTCATCCGAGTATAAAAATCTGTATTTGCAAAAGGGAAAAAAACAATTACAGACTGACAGATTCACAGAAAGACACAACCAAGCTATCAGACAGACAGACAGTCAAAACGATAAACAGATACGGCCTATATCGATCAGAACATTGGGCAGACAGATATAAATAGACTGATAGTGATAGACATATATTGATCCCTGTTTAATAGTGGTATGAGACTAATCTGTCCACAGTGTCTATTTTAAAATGTTGGTTCATTTTTCCTTGACAAACATTTACCATGGTAATGATTTCCACCAAATTATCATGGTTATATATAGCCACCACAATCGTTTAAAACTAAAAACTAACAAAGAATCCAAAAGCTTCTCGCACGGTTGTAGGAGATTAGTAGTAGAAACAGTAACTGTGTGATATATCGGTGGAAACCACTGGTGTATTATATAATGCCATGATAAACGTTTGTAAGGGTCTGCCGACTGCAGTTCAATGGCAGAGGGCACCTGAAGGACGTTACGACAACAGGGGTCAACACACAGAAGAGCAGGACAGAGCATTAAGCGTGCAGCGAAGCATTACGCGGCCCATTCTTACTTGAGAAGGGCTAGAAATGCAGCCGGTTCCACATCTGGCAGTTCAATTTCGGTCGACGTTGTTGCCATGCCACCGTTGAACATGGCATCAAAGACGGCACTTCCCACAGCGAGAGCAAATCTGCGAAGAGCAACGGGATCGGGCTGTAAACACGGCCAGTTGAGGATTAAATATGGATTTATCCTCGCCGTATTAAATGCTTTAATTTATTAATCGAGCGGGAGAGTTTGGCATAAGCTTTTTATAGCAATATACAAAATAAGACTCTAATAAAACATATAAACATACCGCTACTCATCCCTACCTGTGCGCTGGAATGCGCTGCACTCCCATTCCCTTCCCAACCAAAAAATGGACGTCACTTAGCACTTCGTTGTTAAACAAAAATGCAAACCTTTCTTTCACTGTACTTTTTGTCGCTTGCCAGTTGTAGACCGGCTCTCGATAAACCAAAACCGAAGCCGGGCTGCTGGGAAGCGAGGGCACGGCGGCGGACGCGTCTGCGGATGCGGTAGACGCGGAGGAGGATGATGAGGATGATGATGATGATGTCGCCGTCATGTTTGACGCAGCGCCTGAAGTCGCTCCGCTCTGACCGACCGGCTGCCGGGAAGGGTTCTGTGCGCTCGGCGTGCTTCTCACCGCAGACTCGGCGCCTCCGCCGTTTTCAGGCCCTGACTGGGGGTTCGAGTTCCCCGTGCTCCGGTTGATCCCCCCGGCAGCACCCATGGATCCCCCGTTGCTCGCGGGTGAAGAATGGGCGCTGTTGCTCGGCGGTGCATTACCAAGAGGCCCCGAATTAGACAAGTTTAGACACGAGGATCGGCTATTGCTTTCACCCGCAGCCATCTTGGATGGTGAACACTGCAGGCTTTGCTGGAATAAACATACACAACAGCGCATAACCAGAAATACTGGCCAAATGACTGCCTTCCCACGAGAGACTTGAACATCATCGAGCCCCTTTTAATTAGCTTGGCCTTCCTGACTATAATTAATTTTAGTCTCTCTTCATGCTTAGGATGTGACAGTTTTATTCTCTAGCTGACGCTTTTTTGGAGAGGAGAGGAGGCAGGTGTTCGAGGAAATTTTACATTCTAGGAAGTGTATAAATGTGGAAAGTGGCATGGAAGCAACTTGTGTTTTAATTCAAAATTAAACCATATGAGAATACTGATTACAGAACTATATGAATAGTTTTTGCTTTATATTTTACTTTTTTATATTATTTGTATATTCAATAAATTCTTTAATTTTTTTTATTTATAAAATTTATTATGAGAATACCTATAACCTATATGGTCCCCACAGTAATGGAAAACATGGAAATATATATGAATTTTAAATTGTGATTTAGGTAAAATATTAAAGTTTTTTTTATAATAAAATATATTCTGACTTTGCTTTTCATGTTTTCTTTGTTTAGTGTAAAATCTTACTGCAAACCAGTGTAATAATATCACATAACAGGAATTGACAAGAGCACTTTTTGTAATGGCAATTACAATATAATTCAATTTGTTTATAATTTGCTTCTTTTTTTTTTTTTAAAGACTTTATTTAAACATAAAATCTTCTATAAGCTATAATAACATTAAATATATTTCATGTTTCTTCCAAACAATTTTTCTTCAGTAGTAAGACAGGCACATTAAAGGTCAATGAACAACATTTATGAATTGTGTGTGGGACAAACTCTTCATTTTACAGAATCTCTGCTTAGAAATAATTACCTGTGTAATTTTGGCCAAATTAAAGGTACATTGTGTAAGCATCTGTGCAAGTATGTGGTGCATGCAGAATTTAAAAGGTCACGCAAACATTTTAAATACATTTGTCTTAAGGTTGAAGTAGAAAAACTAGAATGTTTTGGATGGCTACCTCTCAGTTTAGTGCTTTGAAAATCAACAATTACTAACATTTAAAGGTGAATCCACTTCTAAGGGAAAGGAAAGCTATGTGCATTCTAAAACTCAAAATAATTTGGATAATAATCTATCTAGAATACATAATAATATTGGCATGTCCCTTTACTTTAATGGGTTGAGATGTGATGTTTATCATTTTATAAAAGTCTTTGTTAAACATGTTGCTAAACATGTAGTTGTATTCTAATATAAGAATTCTGAGATATAATTTCAACTGCTGATTCTAATTTATTTTAGAAGAAGAATTTAATTAATTCAAGTGATTTTTTTTATATATATTTTTAATTGCGCTGTGTTTTTGTGCTGAATTCGGATCGCTTTCGTGGGCTATTGAGTAAATAAAATAAATCCTTTTCACTCCCTTAAAAAATCTAACCCATTAAATTCCGAGGATTGAACACTACCTTATAATAAAGTAGATGAAAGATCCTAGTCAAGGAAAATAATTTATGTGAGACATCTAAGTTGAAGTTGACTTAAATAAGTTTGGTAAAATACGACTTAATGTATTGATTCATAACAGTATTATAAGCCTACTCCATAATTAGTAGCCAAACAATACATTTGAATACAATTTTGTAGTCATGACAGAATGCTCTTATCAGAGCTGGAATAGGGCTTCTAGAAGCATAGACAAGTCCATAACAACTTTATTTCCAGTCATGCGCAATGCAAACGAAGCACGTTGCCGTTCACCCCGCCTACTAAAACCCACAAACCAATCAAAACCACCAAGGAACTGTCAATCAAACCAACGTTTGTGGCGGAGTTAGCGTTTGAGTTAAGAAAACGGGGACTAATTTAGGTAAGTGGGAATTTTGTGTATTACCCGCACGAACGTTACTGATAAATACAAACAGATAGATATACATATATATAAATAAACTTTCGAAATGAAGACACGATTTATTTAATTCATCTGAGCTTCAGTAGAGGCTAGTTAGCCAACTATGCTAATTTAGCTAATAATAATAATAACAACCGGTGATGCAGAGAAAAGTCATTTTTAAACATTAATGCACCAAAAAAGCTCCAATTCACACGCACGTTAACATATTTTATGTAAACAAAACACGTCTCAAATAAGCCAACAATCGATTTATATAAATGGCTGTTTCCAAATATAACGTTAAATGAACGATGCCTATCTAGACAACATTTTGCGGATGTGCTGCCCTACAGTGTTATTTTAGTATCATTGAGATACTATAATAGTTTTCGTTAATATATATATTTTTGCATTTTAGTTAAAGTTGTAATCATTTTGTCATTTTTATTATTTTTAGTTTTTTATGTCTACAGTTATTATTCATTTTTATAGATTGTATTAGTCCATCAAGTTAAATTAAAAGCTAGCTGAAATAAAATCCATTTAATGTTTATTTTATTTCAAGTAATGAGAAATGTTTTTAAACCAGTTTTAGTTAACTATAATAACCATGCTACCCAAATATGTAGTTGATTGATAGTGATCTTAAAGTGGGCAAACATCACTGTTGCTTAAACGCAACCAATGCGTATGATATATTGATTAGGTAAGAAAGTATTTCATCCAATCTAAATAGTTGCTCTTTAATTCTGTCCCAGAATTCCTTGATTTTCATATTATGGGTGGTGTAAAGCAAGAGCAAACTGATGCTCCTGCATCTAAAGACCCTCACCACACTGACTCGGCACAGGAGGAGGTAAGATCATCATATATCACAGAATACTTCAAATATGTAATTGAGTTATTATCGTAAAATGTTTTGTGGTCAAGCACACTCATATTTGTCTAATACATTCTTCCCAAATTTGATTCATATCTATTTTAATTGATTTATTACAGAACCAATCGACTTCACAGCCAGTAAAGAAGCGAGGTTGGCCAAAAGGGAAAAAGAGAAAGAAGGTTTTACCAAATGGACCCAAGGCTCCGGTTACCGGTTACGTACGTTTCCTGAATGAGAGACGCGAACACATCCGAGCCCTTCACCCGGATCTTCCCTTCCCGGAAATCACCAAGAGACTCGGAGCAGAATGGAGCCGCCTGGTTCCTCATGATAAGCAGGTATTATTATAATATATTTTTGTGAATAGACTGACAAATTGTTTCCATTTAAGCTGAAATATCATCCTTCTGATGAAACGGAACTATTTTGTTTACAGCGCTACCTAGATGAAGCCGAAAGGGACAAAATGCAGTATGCACGAGAACTCAGGGAGTATCAGAAAAGTGAAGCTTATCAGATCACATGTGCAAAAGTTCAGGACAAGAGAATAAAGAGAGGTAAAAATGCTTTTTTTTTTTTGTTATTTGAGTACTTTTCTGTCCCCCCCCCCCACCCATGTCTGTTTGTATTTACCTTTTTTGTGAAGTATGCTATAATTGGCTATTAAAAATCAAATATTAGTTTTATAGCGATGCATTTTCCTATTTATATTTTTACAGAAGAGGTGGCTTCTGTCATTATCAATGCCAACAGTTCAGGATCAACTGGTTTTAAGGTAAGTGTACAAACAAAGCCTGAATTCTTAAATGTTTCCACCACATTCCTTAAAGGGATAGTTCACCCAAAAATGAAAATTAAGTCATTAATTACTCACCCTCATGTTGTTCCAACCCCGTAAGACCTTCGTTCATCTTCGGAACACAGATGAAGATATTTTTTATTAAATTTGAGAGCTGGAATAGGCTTCCTAAGGGAGTGAAACTTGACGGCCCAGAAAGTCATTGAAGAAAATGTTTAAATATTCCATGTGACTACAGTGGCTCAACTATAAGTTTATCAAGCGACGAGAATACTTTTTGTGCGGAAAAACAAACAAAAATAACGACTTTATTCGACTATTCCTTTTCTTCCTTGTGGGCCTGAGACGAGAGTTCAAGAGATTTCCACGACGCATGCGCGAGAACTGAACAAGAAGTAGTAGAAGAAGAACGTCCTCTTCTCAGTTCTCGCGCATGCGTCCTGGAAATCTCTTGAACTCTCGTCTCAGGCCCACAAGGAAGAAAAGGAATAGTCGAATAAAGTCGTTATTTTTGTTTGTTTTTCCGCACAAAAAGTATTCTCGTCGCTTGATAAACTTATAGTTGACCCACTGTAGTCACTCGGACTATTTCAACATTTTCTTCAATGACTTTCTGGGCCGTCAAGTTTCACTCCCTTAGGAAGCCTATGTAGCAGTGATCCAGCTCTCAAATTTAATCAAAAATATCTTCATTTGTGTTCCGAAGATGAACGAAGGTCTTACGGGGTTGGAACAACATGAGGGTGAGTAATTAATGACTTAATTTTCATTTTTGGGTGAACTATCCCTTTAAGTACACTGAGCAAAATTACAAACGCAACACTTTTGTTTTTGCGCCCATTTTTCATGAGCTGAACTCAAAGATCTAAGACTTTTTCTATGTACACAAAAAACGAAAACCAGTCAGTATCTGGTGCGACCACCATTTGCCTCACGCAGTGCAACACATCTCCTCCGCATAGAGTTGATCAGGTTGTTGATTGTGGCCTGTGGAATGATGGTCCACTCCTCTTCAATGGCTGTGCAAAGTTGCTGGATATTGGAAGGAACTGGAACACGCTGTCGCATACGCCGATCCAGAGCATCCCGAACATGCTCAATGGGTGAGATGTCCAGTGAGTATGCTGGTCATGCAAGAACTGGGATGTTTTCAGCTTCCAGGAATTGTGTACAGATCCTAGCAACATGTGGCCGTGCATTATCATACTGCAACACAAGGTGATGGTCGTGGATGAATGGCACAACAATGGGCCTCAGGATCTCGTCACGGTATCTCTGAGCATTCAAAATGCCATCAATAAAATGCACCTGTGTTTGTTGTCCATAACATACGCCTGCCCATAACATAACCCCACCGCCACCATGGGCCACTCGATTCACAACCTTGACATCAGCAAACCGCTAACCTACACAACGCCATACACGCTGTCTGCCATCTGCCCTGTACAGTGAAAACCGGGATTCATCCGTGAAGAGAACACCTCTCCAACGTGCCAGACGCCATCGAATGTGAGCATTTGCCCACTCAAGTCGGTTACGACGACAAACTGCAGTCAGGTCGAGACCCCAGTGAGGCAGATGAGCTTCCCTGAGACGGTTTCTGACAGTTTGTGCAGAAATTGTTTGGTTATGGAGGTGAAGATGCTGGATGTGGAGGTCCTGGGCTGATGTGGTTACACGTGGTCTGCGGTTGTGAGGCCGGTTGGATGTACTGCCAAATTCTCTGAAACGCCTTTGGAGACGGCTTATGGTAGAGAAATGAACATTCAATTCACAGGCAACAGCTCTGGTGGACATTCTTGCAGTCAGCATGCCAATTGCACGCTCCCTCAAAACTTGCGACATCTGTGGCATTGTGCTGTGTGATAAAACTGCACATTTTAGAGTGGCCTTTTATTTTGGCCAGCCTAAGGCACACCTGTGCAATAATCATGCTGTCTAATCAGCATCTTGATATGCCACATCTGTGAGGTGGATGGATTATCTCGGCAAAGGAGAAGTGCTCACTAACACAGATTTAGATAGATTTGTGAACAAAATTTGAGAGAAATAGGCCTTTTGTGTACATAGAAAAAGTCTTAGATCTTTGAGTTCAACTCATGAAAAATGGGGGCAAAAACAAAAGTGTTGCGTTTATCATTTTGTTCAGTGTAGATACTTGGAAGACGTCGACATTGTTCTTGCAACCTGGCTAATGAAACGGTTTCCTTCAGAACTCGGACTTTACAACCAGATTTGACGTCCCTATTTTCACAGAAGAATTTCTGGACCAAAACAAAGGTAAGTTAGGGTTTTTATGTTCAAACCATAAACATCCACGTGGAAAGCTGTTTTCTTAAAATTACGCAATTCCCAGTGCGAGAAGCGGAGCTGCGACGACTGCGCAAGGCTAACGTGGAGTTCGAAGAGCAGAATGCGGTTCTCCAGAAGCACATTGCCGACATGTTCAGCGCTAAAGAGCGACTGGAAGCTGAGCTGGGCCAGGATGAGCTTCGCACACAGGCTCTACAGCGCCACCTACAGGCGATCAAACAGACACTGGTCAGCAGCCTGGCCACTGTGCCCTTGCCAGGTTAGTACAATATAGTGCCCATAATACTAGCACCATGATAGATGATTGCAATGGGAAACAAGTTTGTTTTTCGTTTAGGCACGGGCGAGACGCCATCGATTGGAACGCTGGACTCGTACCTGAGTCGCTTGAGTAGTGCATTAGAGAGCAGGCCTCATGAGCATCGCGGCTTAGTCCTCAAGCTACAAGAGCTCTTAGCTCACCTAGACAGGTAACTGTCGTGCAATATTATGTACTATAAGACCATTGGTGGACAAAGTACATAAATTAAGTACTTGAGTAAAAGTACAGATACCCTAATAAAATATTACTCCAGTAAAAGTACTTTTTTTCTTCTTTTTTTTTTACTCCAGTAAAAGTAAAAAGTATTAATCAATGAACCTTTGTTTATTATTTATTCTATTCTAGCACTAGGCAATAATTAAAATTAGTGCATACATTTAATATTTATTGATCTGCAAATAAGTAGACGTTTTATTTTATTACCAAAACTTGTCAAAAACTATCAAAAAATGTAACTTCAGTAGGCCTATCCACCTTTTTCCTATGCCTTCCTTATGATGCTTTGCATGGATTATGGGAGTAGCTTCTGTTAAACTGTAAACAATCAGTGAAAGGTTTGCTCCATGAACACAATAATAAGCATTTTTCTTAAAAATTGGGTACAATGAGATGATATTATTCTACTCACCGTTCAACCATTCAACATTGAAAGGAAATTAAAAAGTGTAAAAGCATTAACAAATTACAAAAAAACAGACAATGAGTAACGCCAAAACCTCTATATATTTCAGCAGCAACATTACGGACTTCTTAAATATAACTAGTAATATGTCTGTATCAGACTATGTAACATATGTTGCCTTAATCAAAAATGTTCATGAACTGGAACATTGAGTGATAATGATTCAAAGTGATTTGAGTCATTGTCACAGGCAATAAATATTATATTTACCTGCTTTTAGAAACATTCCAAACACTGCTTATAGGGATTAGAAGTGAAAAGGGGAGACTATTATATTTTAAAGCATCTGTGTGAAAACAAACCTGGAAAGGTGCATTCCAGGGATTAATTAATGGGATATATGGTAAATGATATTGAGAGAGCAGACTACAAATGCTCAGTAGGCCTATATGTTGCCTTTTTCATACTGTTACAGCGAAATACAAATAAAAAAGAAAATAATCAGGAGGGAAAGAATGCAGCTACTGAAAAGGGATCTTGACATAGATATTCTTATGATATCATATACAGTGCCCTCCACTAATATTTGCACCCTTGGTAAATGTGAGCAAAGGCGGACCACAAGTGCTCAGTAGGAAATAATGTGAAAAATAAATCTGCATTGTTTATCCTTTTAATCTTTAATTTAAAAAAAAAATTACCACAAAAAATCGAACCTTTCATCGATGTAAAACAATTGAAATTGGGGGGCAGATCTCATTATGAAATAAATGTTTTTCTCTGGTTCATATTGGCCACAATTTTTGCAACGTCCTTTTCCCAAGATAACAGCTCTGAGTCTTCCTCAATAATGCCTGATGAGTTTGGAGAACACCTGACAAGAGATCAGAGACCATTCCTTCATACAGAATCTTTCCAGATCCTTCAGATTCCCAGATCCACGTTGGTGCTTCTCCTCTTCAGTCCAGCCCACTCATTTTCTATAGGGTTCAGGTCCGGGGACTGGGACGGTCATGGCAAAGGCTTCATTTTGTGCTCAGTGACCCATTTAAATTTTTTGGGGGGTCATTGTCCTGATGGAAGATCCAACCACCGCCCATTATAAGATTTCTAGAGGCTGTCAGGTTTTTAATTTTATCTGTTGGTATTTGCTAGAATCCATGATTCCGTGTATCTGAACAAGAAGTCCAGGACCTCCAGCAAAAAAATAGGCCCACAACATTAAAGATCCAGCGATATATTTAACCGTGGGCATGTGGTACTTTTTATCCCTGTTTGCACCAAACTCATCTGGGAGGGGTTGCTGGCAAAAATATATATTTTTAGTTTCATCTGACCATAGAAACCAGTCTCGTTTGAAGTTCCAGTCGTGTCTGACAACTGAATATGCTGGAGTTTGTTTTTGGATGAGCGAGGAGGATTTTTCTTGAAACCCTCCCAAACAACTTGTGGTGATGTAGGTGCTGTTTGATAGTTTTTAAGGCTTTCTAACCCCAAGACTAATCCCTGCAATTCTCCATCTGTGATCCTTGGAGAGTCTTTGGCCACTCAAACTCTCCTCCTCGCCGTGCATTAAGACATTATACACACATGTTCTCTTCCTGGCAGATCCGTAACATCTCCAGTTGATTGGAACTTCTTAATTATTGCCCTGATGTTGGAAATGTGAATTTTCAATGCTTTAGTTATTTTCGTACAGCCACTTTCTATTTTGTGAAGCTCAAAAAATCTTTTGCTGCACATAAGAACTATATTCTTTGGTTTTACTCATTGTGATGGATGATTAAGGGAATTTGGCCTTTGTGTTTCCTCAGTTTTATACTCCTGTGGAACAGGTAGTCATGGCTAAACAATTTCATGCTCCTAGTCACCCTGGTGTGCTAAAAAAAAAAAAAAAACGTAAATATGTTGTGTATATATATATATATATATGTCAATAAAAAAATGTCAATATACTTCAGAGATATTTTTCTCTTAAAGGGATACTCCACTTTTTTTGGAAATAGGCTTATTTTACAACTCCCCCAGAGTTAAACTGTTGAGTTTTACCCTTTTTGAATCCATTCAGCCGATCTCCGGTTCTGGCGGTACCACTTTTAGCATAGCTTAGCATACATCATTGAAGTGGACAAGACCATTAGCATTTCTAAAAAAAAAAAAGACCAAAGTGTTTCGATATTTTTCCTATTTAAAACTAGACTCTTCTGTAGTTACATCGTGCACTAAGACCGACGGAAAATGTAAAGTTGCGGTTTTCTAGGCTGATATGGCTATGAACTATACTCTCATTCCTGCGTAATAATCAAGAAACTTTACTGCCGTACCATGAGTGCAGCAGGCGTAATGATATGACGCAGCGCCTGAAAATAGTCCCCAGCTCGGTCTCCATGCTACAAGGAACGCTCCCTGTGCAAGCAGGTTGTCACGTTGGTTATGTTGACGGAAGGTAGCCTATTTTCAGGCGCTGCGTCATATCATTACGCCTGCTGCACTCATGATACGGCAGTAAAGTTTCTTGATTATTACGCAGGAATGAGAGTATAGTTCCTAGCCATATCAGCCTAGAAAATCGCAACTTTACATTTTCCGTCGGTCTTAGTGCACGATGTAACTACAGAAGAGTGAAGTTTTAAATTAGGAAAAATATCGAAACACTCTGGTCTTTTTTTTTTTTTTTGAGAAATGCTAATGGTCTTGTCCACTTCAATGATGTATGCTAAGCTATGCTAAAAGTAGTACCGCCAGAACCGGAGATCGGCTGAATGGATTCAAAAACGGTAAAACTCAAAAACCGTTTAACTCTGGGGGAGTTGTAAAATGAGCCTATTTCCAAAAAAAGTGGAGTATCCCTTTAAGAATTTTAGGGGTGCCAATAATTGTGGCCAACATGCATTGGAGAAAAACATTTATTTAATAATGTGAGTTTCCCCCACTTTCAATTGTTTTACTTCAATGGAAGGTTAGAATTTTGTGAATCAAAAGGATAAACAATGCAAATTTATTTTCACAATTTTCACAATGCAAATTTATTTTCACTTTGCTCATATTTACCACGGGTACCAATATTAGTCGAGGGCACTGTATCACATTAAAATAACAAGCTATTCTCTTGAAGTCTGAACATGAGAACATGAAGGAAATTGTACAGCTCATTCAGTCAAACTGACGGATAAGGATTAATTGTTGCGCAACCTTATGATTTGAAATTATTTGTTCAGTCTTTTTGAGTGGAACTTCCCTAAACCGGAAGTGCCACTCATCATCTAAAACGCAGTAGACTCGTTAGGAAAAAGGTGGATACTAAAAAATAGTAAAGTAATTCAAGTAACAAAATATAACATAGTATTTAAAAAAACAAAAAGGGAAAAAAAATTTTTTTGTAAATGTATGGTGACAAATAGCATAAACATACAATATACATAACGATATACAATAATCAATATTAAAATTGAACATTAGGAAATTACTTTTCCTAATGTTCAAGTATATTATGTAAATAATGCTTTGGAATGTTGTGAAGTACAAGTTTTCAAAAATAAAAATACTCTGATAAAGTACAGATTCTTGAAAAATGTACTTAAATACATGTAGCGAAGTAAAAATACTGTCCACCACTGCATAAGATCATACTATCTGGTAGTCATCTTTTTTCTTCTTCATTTTCTTCCAGTGAGAAGCTTTGAATGGTGGGATTTAGAGGTTCTACGTCAGGCTGACCAAAGTATTCGGAAGGCCTGGAACCCCCACGATCTGCCTCGAACGTCTCTGCCTCACAACAAGGTGTAACAAGGGCCATACGGTTTAATTGGATATTTTGACAAGGCTAGCTTGACCGATAAGCTAATTTGTAACACTGGTGCCAGTGGATTCTAAACTTATTGACATCAATCACCTAATACATCATATTATTGCTGTTTTGACAATTACAGCAGCTCATGGGAAGACTAAGTCCAGAAACCATGGATTAAAGGCATGCTACTATTGTCTTTACTAAGATATTGTAATGAAATGTAAAGTGTAGCGTTTTTTACATTGGTTTACCTCTGAAGCCTTACTGCACAGCGCTGTGGATTGCAAGAAGCTCTTGAGAATTTCTGCGCCATGATTTTTACTCTAAACATTGAGTAACATGCTTTAGTCTTAATTAAAATTCCTAAGTAATGTTGATTTTTGGTTGTATTCCCTTTTGAACAGAACATAAATCAGTCGGCATTGCGAAGGGTGATGAATTCTAGCATTAAAATATTTCATGTGTCAGAGTTTACACTGCTTTAGTGATGTACTTGAATTGAAATTTTTTGACAGTTTGAATTATTTTAATATTGGGTCGGGAAACTTGTGGTGAAAAAAAGATAATAAAATCGGGTAAGAATGGCTTTACTTTCTTTTAAATTATTCCATTTTTCTTCTGTGGTTGAAGCCATATCCAGTAGAGGGTGACATTGACCATGACATGAAACCTTTAGTCTAAAGTGTGTGTGTGTGTGTGTGTGTGTGTGTGTGTGTGTGTGTGAGAGAGAGAGAGAGAGATATCCTTTGGCAGTACATTTTTGGTATATCCCATTCAACCTTTTTTTCTCCATACCTAAGAATTTAATGTGACTCTTACTAAATGCAGCTAAAATATATGCAAGTCAATAAAAATATTGTTACTTTCAACAAAAAAGGTAAAAAGTCAAAGAATGTTTTAATTTTATAATCACTTGTCATTGTTCTGAAAGATAATTGCGGTACAATTGCAAAATTCTTTATATATTTATTTAAATGACATGAAATGAAATTAGGAAAAGTCATAAAGGACATAATGCTATGGACGGATCGCCTCAGTCACCATTCACTTTCGCATAATCTTTTTCAATAATAAAAGTTAATAGAGACTGGGACCGTCATTCACCGTTCATTTGTGTTTCACAGAATAAAGTCAGTCATACGAGTTTGGAACAACATGGCGGTGAGTAAACGATAACAAAAAAATATATATATATATTTTTGGGTGAACTATCCCTTTAAGTTAGTTTTTCGACCTATTAATAACGGGCATTGGAGTCTCTTGGACCCCAAAGCGTTTTTGTCTGACTTATTTCAATTAAAACAGTATTTCAGGAATCTGCCCATTAAAAAGGCACTTTTTCCATCCACGCTTCGGCTATCTAGAAAGGAGAGGCGTCCGCGTGCGCTGCTGCTGTCACTGCTCTCGTGCACAGCTCGGGCCGTGACGTCACGGTAGTAGCTATCCTCGCGGCGGCGGTGCTGAACTGAACAAGATGGCTGTGCGGCGCGTTACGAGCGGCTGAAAAAACAGCGCTAACATTCACTCACAGCCCGGATAACAGCGGTCTACATCGAGAGGGTGGTTGAAAAACGCCCTCGGATTGAATTATCTGAAGGATTCGGAGTAGTAGCTGTTGATATTTTTATATATTGTGGGGTAGAGTTTGATAACAAGAAGGGGAGGTTTCTCAACATAAAACAAAAAAAAAAATCAAATAAATCGTTTTTAAGAACAGTTTTATTATCCAAGCAAACTCAAAAGGGCGCGGATAATAATAAATAAAGAAATGTCACTGCTGTGTGTTGGAGGTAAGTGCATTCTTTCATATATGGATGCATTAAATACCAGCTGTTGGTTATGCGTTATATACATTGATTGTATATCTTTAGACATGTTAAGGGTTAAAAAATGATATTGTATTTGAAAAATACTGTCTTTAAGAAATCATCTAATACTGCATTTAATTAAATGCATAGTTTTTAGGCGCCCGCTTTCAAGAATGGATATTCTGATCAAGGATCAATGATCGGTTAAATATTGTTCTTCAGTGGAGTTTAATATTATTATTGGTTTGTATTCATGCAACAGAAGCTGAACTGTAGGGTTACAGACAGTGTGAAATATCAGGTACTAGAAGGAGTGTATCCTCTGTGCAATGCCTCTTTTTAGTATTTTAGCTAATAACTTACTCCCCTATCGCTTTATTTAGACTACAAGTATTTATTTATTTATTGTATAAAATGTGCAGTTTGTTTCTAGAAATGCACAGGGATATCAGTATATTGAATCCGCCCGTGTTATAAATGCAGCCAGTATTCAGGGGGGTGTTCCCTTGATATTCCAAAAGCTTTTTCTCCCCTGCTCAGAAGGGATCTACTTTGATGTATGATACATCTATTTTTAACTGTGTACTGTACGGGCGTAAAATGGCTTTACAGTTCAAAGCGTTCATGGCAGATGACAACATTACAGGTGTCATTTTTGTTGTTGTTGTAATTGCTACATTTATTCTACATAAGTATGCTTACAGATAAGTAGCTATAAAAATTTCAAAACATTTTAAATCATTATATGGTCTAAATCGATAAATGGACAGATATATAAATCAGAGGCCAGTTTGTGGATAGAGGGACAGACCAGGGACCCCCTATCGTGTAAAATTAAATGATGCATTTTTGGCCTGGCCTATAATAATATAATAAAATGTTATAATAATATGTTATTAGCAAAAGCATTAAAATAATTACTATTGGTGTACAGAATTATTTTTAAATATTTCATTTCATTTAATTTTAAATTGCATTAATATTGTATTAGTGCTGTCATATCGATTTATCGCGATTAATCACATCTAACATAAACGTTTTTGTTTATATAAGGTGTGTATATATATATATATATACATATATATATATATATATACATATACATGCATATATGGGTGTGTACACACACACACACACACACACATATATTATACACACTTAACAAAATTATAAACCCAACACTTTTGTTTTTGCCCCCATTTTTCATGAGCCGAACTCAAAGATCTAAGACTTTTGCTATGTACAGAAAAGGCCTATTTCTCTCAAAAATCTGTGTTAGTGAGCACTTCTCCTTTGCCTAGATAATCCATCCACCTCACAGCATGATTATTGCACAGGTGTGCCTTAGGCTGGCCACAATAAAAGGCCACTCTAAAATGTGCAGTTTTTGAAATGTGCAGACCCAATTCTAGTTTATTCTTAGCTCATGTTAATATTTTGCTGACCAGTGTTATGCAACCTAGATTTGAGATCTTTTTATATTAGAGGTCCCTGGGTTTTGTCTGAGAGTATGAAAAGAGAGGGACGGTGTAAATCTTTTGGCCAAATGTCTTTCACATGCACTTACTGTTAGCCTTTTTGGTCTGCCATGTGCAATGGGCCACTTGCCCATGTTCGCGTGCCTTACTCAGTTCTTGATTGCCATTTAACGCAAGATGACATGCAAATCAGATTGGTCTGTTGTAGAAGATCTGTTGTAGGAGACTCAGAATCTGAACGATACTGTAAGCCATGTTTCTTTGAACACATCCCACACAGACATTCTGATCCATGGCACGTCTGCCACCACTCTGTAATTAAACAGGCAGCAGATTCACAACCAGCGTCCGAAAGTGACAGTGGGTGTGTGGGTGTGTGTCACACAGACTGGCATCATGCTTGGCGCCTGCCGCAGTAACCTGAGCAGATGTACTGTAAGGCTTGCCTAATTCCCCCTGGATGTGTTTTGAAGTTAAAAGTCTTGAATTCCTCTTGCATAACCATCTTTTCGCCAGTTTTCAGGGAATTTAAATGTGCCATTTCTAAGCTGGGTTTAAAATGTCTGGTTTGTATAAAATAAAAATATTCTAGGCTGTTGTTTAAAATCTGGAAATCATGACACAGTATGGAATGAGTAGATTAAAGGAATCACCAAAAAATATTTTCTTTTTTTTACAATTTACTCCATTGACTTTTCCAAACAATCAAACCATTAACTTTCATTGTATGGAAAAGAGCAGCCTGTGTGTTCTACTAAACATCTTCATATGTGTTCCTCAAGGAAAGATAGATTTTTGGTTTGTGAAAGGACTCAAGAGTAAGTAAATGATGAGATTTTCATTTCTTAGTGAACTCTGCCTTTAAAGGGCGGGGGCCACAGATCGTTTCATATTAATAATTTATAAGAACGGCCTATTTAACTTCCTAGATATATGACTGAATTGTAGTTAACACTAACAACAGTTACCATGTATAATTTAGCACTGTTTCTCTGTAGTGATAGCCTATTGGAAAATATTCATATGCAACTGCAAAATCACAGACCTTCACCTAACACAATATTTCTTTGCTACATCATTAGAAAAATGACATTGAATCTAGTGGTCTGAGGGTACGTTTACACTACAACGATGTACTAAAAACGGAAACGTTTTTTCTTTGTGTTTTTCGCATACGAACGACGTTATCAAAATGATCCCGTTCACACAGATCCCCTAAAAACGCTGTATTATTCATGCCAGACAAGTAGTTGGCGATGTTTTCTGCTATTGAAATAGGGCTGCAATAAAATGAAATATAAATATCATTTAACTTAAAATGCATAAATTAAAATCCGAAATGTTGCCTTGTCAATTACCTAAAATAAAAATTAAGTACCAAAATGACTAAAACTGAAAATCAAACAAAATATAATATATATAGGCCTTTAGAAATATATAAAAAAGAAAACACTAATCAAAATAAAATGATTTGATTTTAAAATGATTAAAACTTAAAGGTGCTCTACGTAACTTTTAGCGGCCTCTAGTGGTGATGTTTCAGATTGCAACCAAATTTTACAAGAGCGCTCGTGCTCGAACTCCTCGTTGGGACCATCTAGTCGAGCTGAAAAGAACCATATAAGTTCCATAGTTTTTGGTGGTGTTTTCGCGGAGATATTAGCAGAAAACCATCGGGCGCGCTGCAAAATTGCGGACGCCGGTGACGTCACGATCTCAGAAGAAAATCGCTCGTATCTCTGGAACGCAAAGACCCAGAGAGCTCAAATTCGGGGGAGGAGGTCCCAGGGGAACCCTTGCCCGAACGCTAGAGTGGCGGGCCTCGGGGATGCCCCCTACCGGATCGCCGTTCGCTGGGACCCCCGATTTCGAACGGCTATAACTCGGGGAGCCGGGCGAGTTGGACCTCGGGGGTGGGCTCGTTCGAAAGGCCCCGTCCAGCACTATTAGAGTCTTGGGAATATTGATCAAAGATTGACTGAGATATAAGCCGAAAAACGTGCGCCTTTAACCGGACGTAACTCCCTGACCGTCTACAATAGACTGTATATAAGGAGAGAGGCTCGGGAGCGCGGATGCACGTCACATCCGTTGGATTTCGCGGTAAATCCGACCCGGAGACTTCACATAGAAATAGGAATACTGGCCTTCAGAGGTAATAGCAAAACTCGACAAGTGGATCATTTTAATGTGTGATTACAACCCCTTCACACACAGGCAATAAAAAAAGGATTCATTTTAGTAGAAAAGTTACATAGAGCACCTTTAAATGAAAATAAAATGGAAAATATTTAAAAAATAAAACATTCATAATAACACTATAAAAGTATATCAATTATACTACAATAACACATACTATATTGCATATATGCTTCTCTCCACAGAGAAAAACAGCTCTATTCCATCAAATTCCAGCATGTAGATAATTAGTTTTCAGATTGCAGTTCATCACTGATGGATTGCTTTAAACGCCTACATGGTAAATCCAAGCTTTCTTTGATGCATGTTTTAATATCATCCCTTTATGCCAAGCTTTTAGCGCCCCACCCCCCAAAAAAAACCTTCTCTCAAATTTACCCTTAAGTGGTTATTTTTAGTGTCAGGATATAGCTCGCTCTGCCCATGGTCGGCTACACAGAGAGATTAATGGAGCGCGAGAGGAAGAGGGGAAGAGATAAAGCGGCAGCACACGTGCATGCCAGCCACATGGCAAGAAATGGTGTGTGGGAGCATGATAGAGGAAACCCTGGCAGAGACGGGGCGGAGGCAGCGGTGAATCGTGAGCGGGAACTTTGAGCGGAGGTGCAGCGGTTGCTCGAGCGGGGGTGGCCCGATTCGAGGCTTCTCGCAACCAACTTTTTGTCCAAATCCTCAATTGTGTGGTGTCATTACGATTATTTTACAATCGCATCGGAGTCGCACGATCTCAAATCGTTTGATCTACAACTCTTGATCTGGCTGCCTTTGACGTGAATCCCGCGATAGCCAATGAGAGCGAGCAAGCTTTACTAACCGGATGTTGCGTGCTTCTATAGCTGAAACTTGGCAGCCACACACATGCCATAAAAGTGGAGTATTGAGAAAGAAGATCACCCGTATTCCTTTTTGAATGGCTATGCAGAGTTGTAGACAGACGTCAGTCACTGAGCACCGCAACCGAAACAGCAGCCGCCTTTTACAGTTCCTCCTGAACCAAAACAACAAGCTTATGCTGCTTTCACGCCATGTCATAGCCGTAAATGAGAGATGACGTTCTACCTATAGATGCTCACGTCCTCAGACTTGGATTTATGTTTTTTTATGTCAACACTATCAATGCGGAAATGAATCCGCGGTCCGCCTTGCTCTGATGTCATGCTGACATATGAAAAAAAACTCTCGCGATGGCGAGGTGAACTTGTCGGATTATGCAGTCGAGCGCAGTTGCTCTTCACCGATTGCCCTGATAAAAAGCACGATGGGAAACGACTTGCTGACAACACAGCTTAATGCTCATTGGCAAGGTGCATCTCAAACAAGCCTAATGTTACAGTCAACAGGTGTGTGGTCTCGCGGTCTTGGCGAATCTTCAAGTGTGTGCAGTCGGAGGATTATAATGCTAAAAATCAGTTGAAACTGCCTTTATGTCTGTGGTCTCCCACAGTTTTAAAATCTGTTAAGGTCCTTAACTCAATTTGTTTGCAATTACATCATTATCTATAGGGCACAGCTGTGTTCCTGCTGTATCAGTAGCCAATCAGAACTCGCTGCTCATCCTTCAAATACTTCTACAATACTTGGTCAGCATTTTCTGTAGCAGTTGCGGCGCGAAACCCTCCTCCTTCCCCAGCTCCACCTGTATAGATCTGCTATGGGTAATACATGTATGCTATATTGTACAGCAGCAGCATGTCTTACTTGCTCACAGAAGCGTGTCTGTGTATGTAATGGTAGTAGCAAGTCCCGTACTTGCTCTACAGCACCAGCAGCAATAACCAACTCATGCAAACGCTCGTCAATGCAGGCATCTAATGTTACTGTCTAAAGTAGTTGTTTGTTGTTGTTTCGTCTTGTTGCCCCCTTGTGGATGAACTAATAAGGGCAAAATACAAGGTGCATGTGCGAGCTGAGGATACAGAGTGTTTTACATGACGTCGACTGTACTCATACCTTAGAGTACTTGTAAAAACCCTTCTATTTTTTGTTTTGTTTAGATTAATTAGAATTGGAACCGTCTCAGCGGTTAAAAGTGTCAACCTGTAGCGTTTTTGAGGAAGTGAGAAATTCTGCACTGAATTTAGAGAGGAACGCTGACTGTGAAGGATTACAGTGGAAGGCTCTGAATTATTTTAAGGTCCCCTTAACCCGAGGATGCTTCACACTGAATAGGGGGATATGAATTATGAATGGGGCCGTTGACGTCACTCGGCTTTGAAAAGGAGCTCAGTTGGAGAACAGGTTTTCTTTCTTTTTTTTTCTTTTTTTTTAGATTTCCCCTAAGCATAATTGACAGTGACTGCCTCTCTAGCCCTCTCTGCAGTTTCATAACCACTCAAATTTTCTGTAAGAAATAATACAATCTGTTATAATCTGTAAGAAACTTGTGTATTGGAGAATTTGTTTCTTTGCTGAGCTCTATTCTTTTTTTGTTGCTTGACATGCTGGTTTTAAAGCCTTTAGAAGGTTTTCATGTTTATTTCTCTTTAACAACACTTACAATAAAGTACTGTGGTAGTACCATGGTACAGTGATAGTATTGGATGGTAATTCCATGGTTCTTTGATATCAGGTAAACATAAATTCACCCTGTATTGTGGAAATTTAATTATTATCTTATTTATTTACCATGGTACCACTATGCAACATATCCACAAATCTAGTATTGATGCCAGAAAACATTGCAGTTCCATTGGACCATGTCCAAAAATGGTACGTTTTTTCTCCTGTTTAAACATTACAGTACTATTTCCAAAAAAAAAACCATGTTAGTACTTTTTTGTTTGTTCAAACTGAAGCTGTGCAATTGCCACTCTCTCCCCGAAAGAAAATAAATTGCTGCAAACTGGATTCTAGGGCCTTGAGGAATTCCACTTGCACAAATGCAAATGTGCTGACATTGAATCTCAAATGCGCTGCCTGATATGTAAAGTGTGATTATTTTTAATACCTATGTTTATCACTTATTTACATACATGTCTCTCTCTATTACAGTGAAGAAAGCCAAGCTCGATGGACCACAAGGTATGCTTGAAGTCTCACTGTAACTAGCTTTCCACACACATGTAACCTATCTGTTGTGTTTTTGCAATAAAAAATTATTTTCATGCAGAAAAATTCAACACCTACGTGTCACTGAAGGTTCAGAACGTGAAAAGCACCACTATAGCCGTGCGAGGCAGTCAGCCATGTTGGGAACAGGACTTCATGTTGTGAGTTCCACTTCTCTTTCTCTTAGCAGTAAAAAAAAAGATGGGCAAGAATTTAATGCAAGTTAGCAAACATGCTAATGCAAATGTTTGGCCAATGCATTGAAAGCATAAGGTCCCATTGTACATACATAGGGCCCTATTTTAACGATCTAAGCGCACGGTCTAAAGCGCACGACGCAAGTGCACTTAGGGCGTGTCCGAATCCACTTTTGCTAGTTTAACGACGGGAAAAATGTTCGGCACACCCAGCGCATGGTCTAAAAGGGTCTATTGTCTTAATGAGTAACGGGTGTGTTTTGGGCATTACGTGCAAAAACCAATCAGAGTGTAACAATAGGTTACTATCGTAACCCCGGTTCTCTGAAACATCGAGTGGAGAGATCCACCTATGGGAAGGGCATCCGTACCTGACCTCTGCAGAAGCATCCAATTGCACCAAGTCTGGCTAGACAGACAGAAGCGCGCAGCCAATGCCAGGTGAGGCCACACCCCCTCACCTACGGGCATATAACATCTGGGCGCGCTGCTATTCCTCAGTAAGTATATTCGCTTCTCGTGCGGCAAGCGGGGCATAGCTGGTGGATCTCTCCACTCGATGTTTCAGAGAACCGGGGTTACGATAGTAACCTATTGTTCTCTTTCATCATCTCGTGTTCGAGATCCACCTATGGGAGAGACATGGACAGCTCCCCGATTGCCCAATACACTCACAGTGAGGTTCTGAAAGCCAGAGAAAGACGGTCACCTCGGGGAGGCGGTGCCTGACACGTCCATTAATCATGAACCTGCAAAGGTGACGCCACACCGACTGCTGTGGACAAGCAGGACATGAAGCATGCATGAGACACATACATGATAGTACCCCCAACCCACCAAGGCACATAAACTATACCCATAACGGGAAGTAAATGTTTGGTGGCAAGAATGAACATGACCAGCCGGCCCATTCACTCTTATTGGTTTCAACAGGGTACAGGGGAGAGCTAAGAAGACCCCACCCCTAAAACCGAATGTGCTACCGAGGTTCTGGTGACATCCAGCCGGTAGTAACGCACAAAGGTATGAGGAGAAGCCCAACTGGCAGCGGAGCAGATGTCCTGCAGTTACACTCCCCTAAACAAAGCCCAAGAGGCGGCTAAGCCCCTTGTGGAATGAGCTCTGATGCCCCTTGGGGGCTGCACTCCCTTTGCTTCATAAGCCATAGTTATAGCGCCCACAACCCAATGTGAGAGGCGTTGCTTCGATATGGGACTCCCTCTGTGCGGAGGGGCCCATGAAACAAAGAGCTGGTCGCTCTTCCGGAAAGCGTTGGTCCTGGTCATATAAGCCTGTAAAGCACGGACTGGACACAAAGCATTCAGCCTCTGATCCTCCAGAGAGGTAAAAGGTGGAGGGTGAAAAGCGGACAGCTCCAACACCTCCGAAGTGAACGCAGGGAAGCACTTCGGCATGAAGGCCGGGTTAGGCTTAAGGGAAACCTTATCTCCACTGAGGGAGAACTTAGTGCACGAGGGGTGAACCGAGAGTGCATGTAGCTCACTGACACGTTTAACAGATGCCAAGGCCAAGAGCAAAGCTGTCTTGAAGGACAGCAGCTTAAGGGAAATACTCCCCAGGGGCTCAAAAGGATGTTGAGACAGTGCTTCCAGCACCATGGAGAGGTCCCATTCCGGAACAGTTCTCCTGATGACTGGCAACGAGCGGCGTGCACCCTTCATAAATCTGCGGATTAGAGGGTGCTGCCCGACAGTAGAGCCCTCAAAACCCACATGACAGGCTGAAATCGCAGGCAAATAGACCTTAATGGTGGAAAAAGACCTCCCTTTTTCCATGAGGTCTTGAAGGAAACACAAAATATCAGGAACTGAGCACTGATAAGATGTGAGACCGCGCCCATCGCACCACCCTTCGAACACGTGCCACTTACAGCCATATAAGGACCGTGTAGAGACGGCCCTGGCATTCTGAATAGTGGCGACCACACGCGGCGAAAGCCCAAGTGCGTTCAGGTTCGTCCTCTCACGGGCCAGGCCCAGAGAGCCACCCTGTCCGGGTGGGGGTGGTAAATCTCCCCGTTGGCTTGGGACAATAGATCCGTGCGAACGGGAAGGCGCCACGGCTCGGCGTATAACAGAGGAATTATCTCCGCCAGCCATGGTGCCTGGGTGCTATCAGAATGAGAGACAGGCCCTGCTCTCTCACCCTGGCCAATGAGGGAATTATCAGGCACAGGGGAGGAAAAGCATACAGGAGCACTCTGGGCCATGGGTGGGCCAGTGCGTCTACCCCGAGGAGCGCGTCCATGTCCCTTAGAGAGAAGAACATAGGACAATGGTAGTTTTCGCGCGAGGCGAATAGATCTACGCTCGCCCGTCCGAATCTCATCCACAGCATTTCCACTATCTGAGGGTGAAGACGCCAATCTCCGTAGATTGGGTTTCCCCTTGATAGCAGATCCGCACCTCTGTTCAGAATGCCCGGAACGTGAGTTGCGCGTAACGACAGGAAAACCCGTCTGCTCCACACCAAAAGCTTGTAAGCTAGAGCGTGGAGTTTCGATGAGCGCATGCCGCCCTGACGGTTGATATAAGCCACAGCCGTGGTATTGTCGCACCGTACTAGAACGTGATGTCCCTGCAGGCGAGGCAGAAAATGATTCAGAGCTTTCCAAATGGTTAAAAGCTCTAAATAGTTTATGTGAGCAGAACGTAGTCTGTTTGGCCACAGACCGTTCACCGTTCTGCCCTCCTGGGTGGCACCCCAGCCTGTCAAGGACGCATCTGTCGTCACAACTTTCCGCATCGTAACCGCCCCCAGAGGGGTTCCCCGTGCGTAAAAGTTCTCGCTCTCCCAGTGGCGCAAGGTCGCCGAGCAGGCGCGTGTCACTGTTACCGAGCGGCAAAGGTCGCGAATCGGGCTGAAATGTAGTGACAAGACCCATTTCATGAACGCCCTCATCCTCAGAAGTCCCAATGGCACAACTTGGGTGGATGAAGCCATGAGACCCTGTAGCCTGAGACATGTGCGATATTGCACTTTCGCCCCTTCTCTGAACTGCGTCAGACAGTTCGCTCGCATGGAGACCGAATTCAACTCCAAGCCCAGGAAAATGACATTCTGACTGGGCGTGAAATTGCTCTTGCTCACATTCACTTGGAACCCGAGCGATGTGATGTGCGCGAGCACACGGTCGGTGTCCTGCAACACCTTCTCCTTTGATTCGGCTATGATGAGCCAATCGTCTATATAAGTCAGGATTCTCAGACCTGATATTCTCAGAGGTGCTAAGCCCGCCTCCGCGCACAGACAGAAAGACCGGGGACTCAAACTGAGTCCAAACGGAAGAACTGTGAATTCGTAACATATGCCCTGGTAGGTGAAACGAAGAAACTTCCTGTGCGGAGGATAGATGCTTATGTGAAAGAAAGCATCTTTCAGATCGACTGATGTGAACCAGTCGTTCTGTTTTATGGCACGGGCGAGTGCGCCTTGTGACAGCATTCTGAAATTGTATTTCCTCAAATGTTTGTTCAACACTCGAAGGTCCAAGATAGGGCGGAGAGAGCCGCCTTTTTTCGGGACCAGAAAATAACGGGAATAAAAACCCTGGTTCATCAGATTGGGGGGTACCACCTGAATCGCTCCCTTGTTTAAGAGAGATGAAATTTCCTCTTCCAGAATGTGAGAGGCGTTCTCTTCCGTGTGAGAAAAGAGAATGCCGTTGAAATGCGGGGGTTTTACTGCGAATTGCAATCTGTAACCCTGCATTACTGTACGCATCACCCACTCGGGAGCTGAAACGGTTCGCCAAGCCGCTTCGTGACTCGCGAGAGCTCCCGCTCGGGCCAGAGCGGAGCTGTGTGAGACCGACAGGTTTATTTGTGATGCAATGGCGCCATCTAGTGGGCACACTAGAGGCGACATGCAGGGGTTCGGAGGGATTTCCTCTCTCTGCAGTGAGATGAATTCTCTCTGCGGAGAGAGGTTTTCCCTCCGAAACGAATTCATTTGATTCGTATTTTTTTGTGTTTTGTGTGTTTTGTGTTGGGCAAACACTGGGGCCGAAGCCTTTATTGAGAGAGTGAGGGGAACAGAGTGTGGGCAGTGTGGTGTCACTGAGCTTAAACTTTCCCTCACAAAGGGTCCCCTGAACGTGGGGGGAAAACACACATTTCTCGAACACACGAGCTGGGCAGTCTCGTTTACAGGCGGAGAGCTGACCCATCCGCGGGACCCCCTGGGTTTTTTGGACGGGGGTCCTAGAAGAGGAGGGGAGTCCGAAGGGCTTGCGGCCCGTGAACATGGACTCGAAGCCCCCATCGGCTGAACATCAGGCAGGCCGCTTGCGTTTCGAGTCGGTGGGGTTGGAATTCGCAGGTCTCCTGGCCGCGGCCGCGGCGGGAGCGGGCTTACCCCAGTGCTTGTGTGTAGGTGCTGGGTTATGTTGCCGAGGGTGTGGTTTGTTGCGGGGCTTTTCTCTGCCCTGATGAAACTGTCGTCCCGTGGCCGGTGGGTTAGGCAAACGCATAGGGGGCGCCTGGCGTGGGACTGACTTCCTGGGAAGGCAAAGCTTGAATGCCTCATCCTCCTTCTTCTTATCGTCACACCGTTGTTGCATCAGTGCGACGGCGGGGCCGAAGAGAGCCCGGCCGGGCTCCACCGGCGCGCCCGCGATGCGCCGTTTCTCACTGTCAGGGAGTCCCGACAGGTTCAGCCAGAGCGCGCGCTCTCCGACCACGGAAAGCGCCATGGAGCGCCCGCAAGCTTGGAGGGCCTGCCGAGCGTTGCGGAGGACGAGCTCGTTCACCGTGAGGATCTCCTTCCACAGGGCTTCAGAAGGATTTCCCTTTTCCAATTGTTGCCCTAACTCTTCGAGGATCTCCGCCTGGTAGGCGGAGAGGAGCGAAGAAACGTTAAGGGCCCTGACAGCCACGGCCGAGGACTTATAAGCTGCCTGGTGAACGGAGGCAGCAAAACGGTCCATCTTGTTGGGCAAGACCGGCTTGGGGGGAGCGAGCAGCCCGCCCTGAGCGCGGGGTTAAGGTGCCTGGCGATGGAAGGCTCGACGGTGGGAGGTTCGCCCATACCGTGCGCCGCCATGTCCTTAACCTCGAGTCCCGTGAGACCGTGTTTGAAGTCGAGCGGGTCGCTCCAATAATTTCTCATGTGCTTCGCGCACGCCGGGAGGATGGGGAAGAGTTGTTTCCTCGGGCCGGGAGGGGGTCCCAGCACTTTCCCATCATAAATATCCCTCTCCTGGTCGGTGGCGCTCTGCGGTGCCGGCCATTCGATGTTGAGACGAGCGGCCGCTCGCTCACACACTTCCAGGAGGATGGCTTGAGGCAGAACCGCGTGGGCGGTAGCCTGGGGAACACCAGAGGGCGGGATGGCCTCCTCGTCCTCTGAAACCCCAAGAATGGCCGCATCCTCCTCTTCGCCAGAACCGGGCAGTTCGTGGACGAGAGCGAGGTTGTCCCCGAAGATGTCCTCCTCGGGGAAGGCGGGATTGGGCTGGTCAGCCCAGACGAGAGACGTTGCGCCCCGGGAGGCCCCCGGTAGCGCGTCGTCATCACCGTGTCCCCCGTCCGAGTCAGAAGGGCTGAGCCCGGTGCACTGTGTCACTGCCACCTTAAGACGGCGTTTTAGCAGCTTCCTAGGCAGCATGAGGCAGAAACTGCAATTCTCTGGGTTCTCCAGGGCTTCCCGAGCGTGCTTAAGACCCAAACAGACCACGCAAAGCTGATGAAGATCCTTAGCTGCGATAAGGGCACCACACGCGGCCGGGCAGGCCCGTGATATGCTATCCCCTGGAGAGGCTGCAGGCTTAGACAGTGACATACCAGCGAAGAAAACGGAGAAATCCGTGGCGGGCAGCCGTGAGGAGAAACGGTGAAAATAGCGAGAGCGTGGGCGGCTCCGAATGCAAAGCAGCAATAGTTGAAAAATAAACAACTGTCACGTCCGGCGGAGGCTGATCTGGTCGATATGTCCTCCTGAAGACACGAGGTGAGCAGTGTAAAAAATCAACCGAGCTGTGAGATGCAGAGATCGCGAGAAGCGAATGTCAACTGAGGAATAGCAGCGCGCCCAGATGTTATATGCCCGTAGGTGAGGGGGTGTGGCCTCACCTGGCATTGGCTGCGCGCTTCTGTCTGTCTAGCCAGACTTGGTGCAATTGGATGCTTCTGCAGAGGTCAGGTACGGATGCCCTTCCCATAGGTGGATCTCGAACACGAGATGATGAAAGAGAACATTCCCTTTAAAAGCCAGTTGCACTCACGTCATGGCGGATTCACTATTTAGATGGCGTAATTTGCAAAAGCACGCAAGCAGACCATCTACGGGACAAGCCGGATTCCACCATATCTTTATTACACAATATTCATCTTTTACATTGTAATCCTTTTATTTTTATTTGGTATGTTTATTTGGTATGTGCTGCTGCGCGTCCCTGTGTGTGTAATAAGTAGAGTGTACTCGCGTTGTGGACCCGCCTATAGGCGCACATTACTAACGCGCTCTTTAAATAACAAAAAAATATTGCGCCATTGACTTTAGACCAGGTTTCAGTTGGTCAATGACACAGTCTATTTCAGTTGCCTCAAAATAGCAACGCACCAACAATGCACCTGAACACACCTCGTTTTCAGACCTGCGTTTTCAGGCCATGGGCGCACAAATGGGCGCAAATGCATTTGCTGTTTAAAGCTGCTGTCCGTAGCTTTTTTTGGGTTAAAAATTATCCAAAATACATATTTGATAAAATACATAACCAGCCAGTGTTCAAAACTATCTGCTTGCCTTAGCTCGATGCAAAACGGTAAGCTTGTAATAATGTTTTTAATTTTAGTGGTACTGGTGGATTTCCGCGGGAGATTCGAGCATGTCTTTGCGTCATTACGTCACATCTGTACACATAAAGAAGGAGTCTCGGCTAGTATAAGCTATATTGCGTGTGAGGATGTTGGAGGTAGAGATTTATAGCCTTTTCTCACAGCACTTGATATAATTAAACTTATCAATTTGATGGCGGATCCAGAAAGGTTCAAACGACGATCATCATCAGTGACAACTAGAGACTCACCCGCTGTAACATGCAAAAGACTTCGTTCGGACTTCGGAGTGGCTACAGAAAAAAAGAGACTGCAACCGGACCCATGCGAAAACAAGGATAATATCGGAAGGACATTACATGATGTAGTCACGCAATGCTTGCTGACGTTGTTAACATTAACAATTTGAGAACATAGTATAGCTACTTTGCACGGTTTTGCGTGAAATGATAATTTATAAGCAATTGTTAGATTTAATCAGCGCGATTTACTGCAATGTCAGAACCAGAACAAAAGTGAATGTTTCTTACTAGTTCAGATGACATTTCCCGGTGAAAATTGTTATGTTGGTCATACTTCCAAAAAGAATAATCTGTGATTCTGAATGACAATATCCACATCGGCGCGGTGACTGACAGCTGCACACTCTCCTCAAACATTGTGTTCATCCGCGCTGTGCCGTGTCGAGGGTGTTGAACTACAACCCACGTAAAGTTGATAATTCCGCGAATGACTGCAATTGCAGATTTCGAACAGAGATGGCGACAAAGAGGAAAAATGCCGGACTGCAGCTTTAAACAACGTTGCGCTGGACATGAAAATGATAACTTGCAAAAACGCTTGGCGCTGCATTGCGCCGGGTGTATGATAGGGCCCTTAATGTGCTTGCCCTAGTGCTTTGTGTTCACTAACTTGCGTAGAGTGTGTTTTGAGGCTTATAAGAACCTTGATGTAGGGGCTATTTCTGTTTTCTTATGTAACAGCATCCCCTAGGTAATGGCAGTCAGGTAGTACCCCTAATGGTTTCACCCTCAAGGGCCCAGACGTTGCCTACCACTGAATGCAATAAATCTTGTCTTGGAAACTTAAGATAAAATGTGTTGTGATTGTCCTGGATGATTAGATACAGTAAACTAGTAGACATAAAACATTTAAATAGTGGAGCTCACTAAGCAAAACAAAGCAATTTCTTGTGCTCCTGCTTAGCATTATGGATTTGTTCTAAATTAATGACACCTGCAAAATTCTTGCCAATCTCCTCTTGAGTCATCTATAAGCCAGATCTGCTTGAGTTACTCTTTATCTCGCTATGCAATGTCTAACACGGTGCCTCCATTGTCTCCAAGATTAGCCCCCGTGGTCTTTGAGAGGGATTGGTTTTAAAGTAAAATTTGAGGCTATTATTAGGATTTGATGCTGCTTTAGAGAGTGTAGTCTTGTGGAGTGTGACTGGAGATGCCCAAGGCACAGATGGCGTTATTGTCTGCACCCTGTTTGGTTTTTCTTGCTATTTTCTATTTCTTTTTCCATTAATATTGTCCTCTGCTATTCTCTGGGGTCTGGTTTTTCAGCATGTCTAATCTAAATGAAATAACTGAGTCATGCAGTTTCTCCACAGCATTTCAAAAATGTGCTTCTTGTGAATTTCATATAAGTAACTAAGCAACTTTTGCCTTAGGGCTCTTTATTTTATATGTGAGTTTGTTATTAACTGAAGATATATGAAACCTTCCTAACAGAGTTTAGTATCCATATCATCATACTATATATTAATTTCTCTGTCCATCCCTCTTTTTTCTCAATTTTACCCATCACTCCATTTTCCAGTGAGATTAACAGGCTGGATCTGGGCCTGACAGTGGAGGTATGGAACAAAGGACTGATCTGGGACACCATGGTTGGCACATTGTGGATCCCTTTGCACAGCATTCGACAGTCGAATGAGGTACAGCCCAGATGGCCGGCCTGGCCCCCAACAGCTTGCAGCTTTTCTCACTCTCTGTAGAGCTATATGTAGAGATCTGTAGCTGATGCCTGGCATTGGCTCTCATTGCAATCATGTTGCAGAAACCATTCCCTGTATGACTCTGTGTTAATATTTGTTCAAATTTCTTACCAGTTAAAATTTATTAGATGAACTGACACCAGTGGAATTTGTTTCTACAATGTTGGCATAAAATGTTCACTTTCAAGGACAGTGTCCCTAGAGCAATCTGGGATTAAGTGGCTTGTTTAAGGTGATAGCAGTGATAAAGTTGCAAGGCTCAAACTTGCAACTTTAGCTAAATTACCCCAAGCAGGTAGAGTTATGTACCTCTCTAGTTGATCCAACCAAATGTACAGACAGCTTTGTCTCTGATAGCAGATATACCACTGTTTCTTTTTCTATTGTGTTGTAGGAAGGGCCAGGACAATGGTTGACTTTAGACTCCCAGGTCATTATGGCTGAAAATGAGATCTGCGGCACCAAAGATCCCACCTTTCATCGAGTGCTTTTGGATACACGATTCGAACTCCCATTAGGTATCCTTGCTGTTTATTACTTTCTCCAATATTGTATTTGGTCACTGCTTGTCCTAAGTTTTGATGCTAACTTATGGTTTTCATACTTCCAGATATACCGGAGGAGGAAGCTCGATACTGGGCCAAGAAATTGGAGCAGCTCAATGCCATGAGGGACCAAGATGTGAGTCTTCTTATTCAAGTCCAGTCTTGTTGTGTTTACAGTCCTCCCCAGAGCCCAAGGGCAGAACATGCATTAATTTGAGTCTGTCAGAGAAATTCCTGAGACCTGAACAGCATTTTTTGAACTACTGACCTAATTAAACAAAGACTTTTATCTGTTCAAACTGGCTTGCCAATAATTTCTGTTTGCTCATTTTGCAGTACACATACCAGGAGGAGCACGAGAGACCACTTCCAATGCCATCAACTCAGTGCTGTGAGCTTTCAAGCGCAACTCACACTCACACTATAAATTACATGGCCCCTTGGTAGGTTAATGTGTACAGAACCTCATTAGAAGACCAATCACCCCATCAGCAGGTCCAATGTGAGTTTACTTTATCTCTGAGCACTTGATGGATGGCTTATCATCATGGTGCAGATTTCCTGGACCGTATTCAGCGATATCTGAAGCCTGTGTGGGATAAGGAGGAATGGCTTGTTAGAGTGGCTTTGGCTTGTGAACAGGCCATTTTTTATTACTTCACATCAGAGCTATTAACCATTAGCACTTAGCGTGCACAGGCAAGGTCACTCTCATGCACTGTGCACTGCCATGTCACACCTAGTAATTTCACTATTCAAATTTATAATAAGCTGCTTGTTCATGGTCAAACAGAGGCATGTGTTCCACAAAGATATATTTTCATCACAGATTATTTGGCCTACTTCTAATATTTTTCTTGACTTATTGTTTTCATAGGTAACTGGAGTCTATGGGGGGACCAACAAAGTAAGTAAGCTTTGTTTGAAAATAAAACATGCAGAAAACTTTTATTTATGCTTGCTGGTGGACTTACTTTGTTTACTGAAGTATGATGGGTTTGTGGATCAACATCATTTTGGTCCTGGAACATTCCTATTAAAAAAATCACATTTTAGGGTTAATCCACACAATTTACATTTAAAATCTGCACTTGCTCCTCAGATGATGATCCAGACAGTGCTGTGGATGATCGAGACAGTGATTACCGCAGCGAAACCAGCAACAGCATCCCACCTCCGTTCTACACCACTTCTCAGCCCAACGCATCCATGCACCAATACCCCATCCGAAACATGCACCATGGCTCCCGTTACAACGACACTAACGACTACGACTATGATAACCAGAGAGCTATTAGGTACATTTTCCCAATTCTTGGGTGCAATATTATTGCTAATGCTAGTTGGTAATAGCATTCACTTTCTCTGTACAACTTTCCTCTGTTCTTATTCCTATGCATTAATGACTGTATACAAGGATTGAATGAGTAGTCATTGTATACACTTCATGGGTTTGGAGCCACTCTGGTGCCACTTTGTGATTTGAATGCAACATTTCCCCTCAATTGCTCGTTTTTTGCCCAGTTCACTTCAAAACAAGCTTTTATTTCCTGAGCATTTTGTCTTACAAAAGTGCTATTCCCAACATTCATTCATTGCATGGTGGAGACTTTGTGCTCTAAGATTCTGGCCCTGTCCCAAATGGCACCTTAAGGTCTCGGGGTCCTTCTCCAAGTCAAGTTACCATTCAGACTGTTGGGTAATAGTCCCCTAAGAAGTCTTCACCAAAAGGGATGCATAACAGCCCCAGAAAACTTAGAGCAGCCTTTCGGAAAACTATAACAACAAATGGGCCCCCCAGCTTTGGGAGAGAAGGCCTTGAGACTGCAAATCAACATCAAGTGCGCCTATTGGGACAGGGCCTCTTTCAAAGCCTCTTGAATCCTTTATAAAGTCTTATTAATAGACAGATCCTGATCCTAAAGAGATGCTTTTGATATGAGTCTATTAGCAGCTTGGTTAAACATTGCCTTAAGTTGGGTCATTTTCCTTCCAATGTGGCCTGATGAGGTGAGATGAAAAATGAATAAAAAAGACATTTCTCATGCTCCTCCTCTTCCTGCCTCCCCCATCCCCTTCCCTCCCACCAGACGCTATGATAGTTTAGACTCCGCCACCAACGGCCGCAGCGATCTCGATTCGGCTTCTGGCTCGAGCAGGCGGACCAGCCGCCAGTACTCCTTAGACAGTAGGCACTCGCTCTCTGATAGGTGGGTCTCCATAGCTCCTACACCTCCACCCTCTTCCACCTCCTCCTGCTCTTCTTCCTGCTCCAGCCTGTGATTCCGTCCCGCTGTGATGATGTCGTGGAATTGGACTTGTCTGGTCCTGTGGTCCTCGCTATGCTTGCCATGCATGCGCAACAATCCTTCTTTTACATACATGATCTATTGATATATTTTATCTATACCTCTTTGTATTCTTTGTCCTCTATCATGATTGCTGTGTACCTGTTAATGGCCTGTCACGTGTTATTAGGTAACTGACCCATACACTTCACAAGCTTTTTCTTGTGTCTTTTGTACCGTGTAATCGGAATTTGGTGCAATTTTGTGAAGTCTGTTATTTGGCTGCTTTATGCTTGACAGAGTTAGAGAATAACGCTGTAATTCCGAAAGTCTAGTGTGCGCTAATTACATAGCCTTTAGACACACTATGCTGTGTGTGGGCAGCAGGCGGGGCCATGCTGATGGTTTTGACAGAGTCCATGGAATGTACATATCACTGATTTACCCTCTCTGTTTCTCATGAACCAAACCTTACTGAAAGACAAAATGTGTTGTGTGAAAGATGTTGTGTGAAATAAAGCTGTGTCTTAGGAATTTATGGGTTTGTGTGCTAGGGAGTTAGACTGGCTGGTAGATCTAACTGGCAGAAAGGCTTGACAGAAGCCTTGAATGTGTAATTGTGTGTGTGTCCCATGGCTCTTGTATTTCCTCCAGTCTGAAGCCCAGACGCTTTTTGGCTCACAGCCTATTACACACCTCATATCTTTCACTTCTGATTCTTCATGCATTTCTAAACCTCACGTCCCATAATCGATAATGTGTGTGTGTGTGTGTGTGTGGCATTGAGTCTTTTATTACTCATTCCATTCTCTCATTCTATACATAATTGGCTTATTCATCAGTGAGGATAAAAAGCCTTTCTTAACAGGAAAATGCTGCACCACCTTTTTGTGAGCTCAGTGTCTCTTTTCTTTTATGTGTTGTTCTTTCTTATGTCCACCTGGACGAATTTGTCCACTGACAACTCTTCCCACTGCCGTCTTGTCTTAACTTTTTTTGTGTTTGGTCTGAGATTGTGAAATAGCTTTTTCTGAGTCCATATGTTTATGTGAGTTTTTTCCTTCGACTCCCTCAAATGAGCCTGAGGACTCTGTCTTGTTTTCTCTCACCACCTTACCTGCACTCATACATCCATCCAGCAGAAATTATTTTCCTGCTGAATAAAACACCTTAAACCAACCTTAATTTGTTTGCTTGTCTTAGCTGGTTTGAGCTGGTCTACCGACCTTACTTCTGAAAGACCAAGTAAGAGCAGAAAACCATCTTTGGCAGGTTTAAGCTGTTGTTTTCAGCAGGGAGAGACTAATATTAGTTGACAAGTGTCATTTTCCTCTGTTGTTGGTTGTTCCTGCCTCAAACTCTTTTTTTACTGCCCTTAAACCTGTATATAAGCAGTCGCCCACCTTCTTTCTTCCATGACTTAATATAACTTACAGTTCTTTACTCCCGCAGCCCCACCGGCAGTAGTCGCTATGCGTCCTCGGGTGAGCTGAGCCGTGGTAGCTCCCAACTCAGTGAAGAGTTTGGCCCAGAGGATGGTGAGAGCTTCCGTGGTTCAGTAGAGTTCTACGATGAGAACGACTCCTACCATTCCTGCCATTCCTCCGTTAGCTATGGTAAAGACTCACCCGTCTGGGAACCGGATGAGCCGCAGGGTGTCTACAGTGATGATGGTGAGTACAACAAAGATGGCGGTGAAGAAGGTGCACTCTACGATGAAGAGGACGGTGAGATCTACCAGCAGGAGGAAGGGGAGTACGCCTATGAGGAGGAAGTGGAAGGAATGGTGTATGAAGTGGATGAAGACCTTTATCCATTGGATGGTACTCTCAGTGAAGAGCAGGAGCCACCCTACACCCCTACCCCAACCAGCACTGCCCCAACGTTGGCTCCTGAGGTGACCAGCCGTCCACCCCTGGAGAAACAGGCTTCTATGCAACAGCCCCCGCAATCCCAACCACCGTTTCAGACCATGGAGCCTAAACGAGAGTCACCACCCCTACAACAGCCACTTGATGTCTTTGCGAAGGTACCTCGTACCTCAACCCCACCACGGGTCTCAGAGTTTGAACCAGAGAAGGTCCCAATGCCTGTAGGCAAGCTGGCAGCTCATACAGAGGAGCCCTTGCTCACCCCTGCCACTGAGATCCCACCTGAACCAGAACAAGAGAAGGAGTCTCCTCCTGAGAGGTAAGCTCAATGTGCTGATTCCTTGAAAGCTTGGATAAGGTGTAGCCTTTCATGACATTTTGCTGGATACAAGTTAAATCTAATAATTTCACCATTTTTCCCAGCACACCAAAGCTGGAGCCACCTGTGGACCCTGCAGTAAGGGCCAAAGCCAACTGGCTACGACTCTTCAATAGGGTTCGCCTTCAGCTGCAGGAGGTATGTGAAGTCTGAAGTTGTGAAGCCTGAAATAGATTTATTTGATCAGCTTCTTCCAAGTACATAGAAATTCAGTAACCTTGTAAATCAAAGTTTGCCAGCTTATGCCTATTCAGTTGGTTCTTTTGGCCAACATTGGGTCACTAGTCTTTGGTTAGTTCTGCCCTTTGTTGTTGTCCTTTTTTTTGCCTGTCTTCTCCATTTCATGTTACTTTTTTTGTCACTTACTTTTCAGTTTTACATTTTACTGTTACGTATGTTTATAAAACCTGTTTTCATTTTGAGATTTTGTACCCTTTTTGTGTTCCACCCCATTTGTTTGTGTTTTTGTGTGTGTTTTCTTTCAGTTTTTTGTCATTGCAATAGCGATTGTCATACTCTTCCCTGCTTTGCCGAAGTTGGACAAGCAGTCTGAAAGGTGGGTGTGGCAATGTGAGGGTCCGAAGTAAACACATTTTTTGACTGATGGCTATGGCGCGCTTTCTCTGAGATACACATGGAGTTATGATAGCATAATGATGATTGAGATAAAGATGTCCGGCAAATCCGGTCTAATCATGAGAGAGGCCTGCGGCTGACGTCAATGAGATCGGCCGACTGCAGGCTCTTTCTGGGTCCAATCAAAACAGACAATGGTCTTTTTTTCTGTTATACGAATTATATCTTTGAAATTACATTGTGAGGTCTGCATGGATATTGAAAAGAAAATGAATATGGTTTACTGGATGAATTAAAATGAGATATATGGAGCTCTGTCACTGATCCCTCTGTCACTCTCTGTTGTCCGCAGGCTCGAGGTGAGACTCCAGGACTTGCATCACTCTTTTTGCAAGCAGGGTGAGTGTCACCAGAGGACTGCAGCTCTTTTTCAGAGCAGCTAAACATCTGAGCTATTCAAACATCATGCTTTAGAATATGATACATAATGTATATAAACATTTACATATTGGAAAGTACCCGAAGCATTAGGAATCTCTATGGAAAATACTCTTTGCCTCGTTTACACTACAGGTCTTGATGCCCAATTCTGATTTGTTGCCTATATCCGATTTTTTTTACCGTCCGTTTACACGTTCTTTAAATTGTGACCCATATCCGAGTCATGTGTTTACACTTGACTGAAACATCGCGCATGTTTAAAGGGGTCTTCTTGCTCAGATGGACGAAGCGCAGCGAGATCTCAGGACAGGTGGGAACATACAACATGATCTCATAAAAGTGAGTAGCCTATCTATAGCACAAATTTTATTTCTCATGCCATTTATAGCCTACGCCAAAAATAGTTTTTGCTTGCATATGATACGCACTGTAAACGTGCGTATTAAACGCCATAAAGCTATATTTTTGGCGTAAATGCCACGTGAAAAAAAAATCGTGCAATAAACGCACTTTCATGAGATCGTGGCGGGCTTTAACGAGGAGCAGTGGGTCCGAAATTTTAGGATGAGCAAGCCAACCTTTGATATGTTGTGTCAACGTGTGTCCACATTCCTCTCCTACGACGACACGTTTCATCGGGCCATCCGTCCATCCGCAGATGTGCGTCGGGGTTTCTCTCGTCATTAAACCGCGGAGACGCAGCCTAATGCCTCGGAAAATCCGATCTGCCTGTTTACATGACAGTCGCATTGGCACATATCCGATTTACATCTGATTTATTTCCACATATGAACGAGGCCTGAAACCGATCTCGAAATATCCGAATGCATGCGTTTTTTTCCTGTTTACACTGTCATAGAACACATCCGATCTGTGTCGCATATGAGTAAAAAATCGGAATTGGGTCACATTTCACTGACAGTGTAAACGAGGCCTTTGACCCCTGTTTTTCAAATTGTCAATAATTTTAATAATAAACATATATTTTAATAAAATACATTTACCCGTTTGATCCGCAGGCCTGGAGGTGCTCTCTACAGCATAGACAGCATGCCTGACCTACGTAAGAGGAAGGCCATCCCTCTCGTCCGAGACCTGGTGAGTCACACACCCCCGCTTTAGTACGTCAAAGTTTCAACCAAAGCATTGCTGGACCCAACATCACCTTCCTAACTCTTCAAAAGCTCCATCTATGTATGTCAGCGTGGTTATTTTGGGCAGCAGTCTGTCAAGGGTCTGTAGTTCACAGAAGTCTCTATGGCACATCTGTTTGAATCACGACTACAGGGTTAGACATTATTAGAGCATTACTCAGCACCATTCACCCTGTAGCCTGATGAATCTCCACCGGTCCAGTCAGCCTCACGACTGCCTCTATGTCTCCTTTACAGTCCCATTAATTTTGGTCTCTGTATTTCTTCCTAAGCTGACTTCATTCCCTGCTAACCTTGTTTCTTGCCTGTAACCTACTTCTAGAGCTTGTTGAACCTTTCCACTTATACTTGAAAAAAGGTTGGGTGGCAATAACATTAAACATCATTCTTGCATGGATAGAGGCAACATGAAATCTAAATTGACCATTACTTTGTTGATACATCATGCTTCTGGTCTAATTTCTTCAGTGCATGTTATTCCAAAGAGAGAGAAAACAAAACTTTTTTCACCAAAAGCGAAACTTGCTCTGCCTCGGTAATGACTCGGCTTAATAATTCAATCTGGTCACAGCCAACAAAATATATTCATGTAGTGTCATTTAAAAAAAAAAAAAAAATGTATGCAATGAAATTAAGTTTTAACAAAATGCTCAAGAGTTGTGTTTCATTAGCGCATGTTAATTAACTACACTTTTGACTTTCACTTTCTGAAAAACTTCTCATTAAACTGACAGGAGAGTTAGTTATGTATTGATTAAACAAAGTAACGAGAGCCAAAAAAAAAAAAATCGTTCGGTAGCTGACAGCTGTCGTGTAGGTCTGGCCGTACTTATTCAGCCAAGAACACTCCTGGCAGCCTTCACTGGAGGGCTGTCAGAACATCGACGGCACCAGACTCTCTTTGACGCCACGAACTGGAAGATGAGGGAGAAATTACCATGCTGTATGAAACAGCTCCGCAGTTTGTCGGTTTTAATACAGCTTACCATCACCGTCACCGACTCTAAAAGTCAGAAGCCAAAGTGCTGACTTGATTACAATTAAAATGTGTGTCAAAAACAATTCATCTAGAAGACAAAGTACCCACCTCTCTTTCTTATTTCTCTCTGCTCTTCCTCATGCATAATTGTTGTACAAGCACTTTTCTTTTCGAGACTTCTTTACATAAATACTTTATTGTTGTGGTTGAGTCAGTAGTTTTATAAAACGTGTAACTTGAATTTAGCACCAATTGTCGTCTTTTATATCTTAATCAACCCTGGTTGTGCAGTTCGTGACGCATGTAATTAAATGAGATCTAATCAAACTTCTAAAATATTTCTTTGATTATTTTTTTTCCCAATGCCTCACCTTCTGCAGGCAATGGTGAGTACTTCCCTTTTCAGCACTCCTGGGTAAAATACTTCAATTCCAGCCATAAACACAGTTTTCTGTTTCATCATTTATGACTGCAATACTTTCAGAATTTCAATCAAATACAGTATATTCATTAAAAAACAAATACACATATTTGCTCCCTACATGTTTGTTTTCTCTTGTAGTCCCTTGTCCAGAACTCTCGAAAAGCAGGCATCACTTCTGCTATGGCCTCCAGCACACTTAACAATGAAGAATTGGTATGTCAGCCAGTTTTCTTCCTGGATATTCACATTTTGCAGTTCATTTTCCATTTACCTGTTGATTTGTTCAATGATCTTGCAGAAGAGTCACGTCTATAAGAAGACCCTGCAGGCTTTGATCTACCCCATTTCCTGTACCACACCACATAACTTTGAGGTGTGGACAGCCACCACACCCACCTACTGCTATGAGTGCGAGGGGCTTCTGTGGGGCATCGCTCGACAGGGCATGCGCTGCACCGAGTGTGGGGTCAAGTGCCACGAGAAGTGTCAAGATTTACTCAATGCCGACTGTCTGCAGAGTAAGATTACTTATTGAGTTTCTTTCATTACTCTCAAATATTGTATTTATCTAAATGTTAATATACTTAAAATACACCCTTAATACGGCGTCAAAAATTTGGAATAATTACAGTTAAAAAAAAAAATTTATGCTCACCAAGGCTGCATTTATTTGATCAAATTACAGTAAAAACAGTTATTTGTCAAATATTATTACATTTTAAAAGAACTGTTTTCTATTTTAATATATTTATAAATGTCATTTATTCCTGTGATGCAAAGCTGAATTTTCAGCACCATTACTCCAGTCTTCAGTAGCTGCGCTTTTCCATTACCCCAAATTGCGCAAATTGAAATTGCGAATTGAAAATACGCTTTATGGAAACACGCCAAAAAACGCAAAACCGTTTTTACGCTCGCATGAGGTGGTTTTTCAGGCAATTTTAAAAGGAATATTTTGCAAAACTGCAATGGAAACAGTTTTTCTCCTTTACAGGCCACCTGGCATCACTCTTCACGTGATCATTCTTTAGCCATGATTTTTGGAATGACTTTTTGTGAGAGGCAAAACAATACATTTAAGTCGCATAATAACATCGCTTCATGAAAACACTGTCATTTTGCAATAGTTTTTAATAAAATTTTAGAATAATTTAGAAAATATCGCAAAAGTTTTGTGAAAATCTGTAATGGAAATCAGGCTATTGTTAAAGTGTGACTTCAGAAATATTTGTAATATTTGGTTTAGTTAATATCAATTATTATTGCTCAATTATTAATACGGTAATGGTTATTATCAATGTTGAAAGCTTTATATTTTAACATTGATGCTGATATACTCATTTTGTTTATTTGGAAATATTCTCTGATGAATGTAAAGTTCAAAAGAACAGCATTTATTTGAAATAGAAGTCTTTTGTAACATAAATGTCTTTACTGAATAAAAGTGTTTATTTTTTACTTTTTTGTTTTTTTACTTACTCCATACTTTGAATGGGATTGTATCATTGTAGCAATGTTCGATGTTATGGGAAGAAGGAGGCGGGACCCGGCGAACATTTAAACAACTTTAATAATAAAACAAAAATGAAAGTAAAGGCCGCAGCCCCTCACGGACGACTGCTGTCACACATAATAAAACAAAACATCAAATAAAATAGTCCAGGCCTGGTCTCTCTCGTCCTTCACTGCCGTTGCTCCTCCTTTTATGCTTCCACTCCTCCGTGAGAGATACGAAGCCGCGCAGGTGTCGCTCATCAGCAATCACGCCACCGGCCTCGCTCAGTTCTCCTACGGCCCTCGGCCTCGTCCTGCTCGCCACAATGATAATAAGAAAATATCCCTTAAGCAGCAAATAAGTATAATAGAATGATTTCTGAAGGATCATCTGACATTGAAGACTGAAGTAATGATGCTAAAATTCAGCTTTGTCATCACATTCAAATAGATTCAAACAGAAAACTCTAAATTGTAATAATATTTCTCAATATAGTTTTTAACTGTAGTTTTGATTAAGTAAGCGTAGCCTTGGTTAGCAAACGAGACCTCTTTCAAAAATCTTGATTATTTCAAATTTAGTGACTGGTCTGGTAGTGTAAATATAAAATATATTTACATAAACCTTATCCGTCTTCTGCAGGGGCGGCGGAGAAAAGCTCTAAGCATGGAGCTGAGGATCGCACGCAGAACATCATCATGGTGTTGAAAGACCGCATGAAGATCCGTGAACGGAACAAGCCTGAGATATTCGAGCTGATTCAGGACGTGTTTGCAGTCATCAAGGCCACGCATGTGACACACATGAAGCAGATCAAGCAAAGTGTCCTGGACGGAACGTCCAAGTGGTCGGCCAAGATCAGCATCACCGGTAATGACCCACTTCAACCAGCACAAGTTTGTTATATGTCATACTGGTTATCTTTGTATTAACCCTGTTTCTCTGCTCAGTGTTATGCGCCCAGGGCCTGCAGGCAAAGGACAAGACCGGCTCCAGCGACCCTTATGTTACGGTGCAAGTTGGCAAGACCAAAAAACGAACCAAGACTATCTACGGCAACCTCAACCCTGTATGGGATGAGAGCTTCAATTTGTAAGTGGATTATCTCGGTTAATATAGGCTATATCAAATACATTTATCGAGAATCAGTGCTCATGGTGATACAAAAACATCTCAACAGTGAGTGTCACAACTCTTCCGATCGGATCAAAGTGCGTGTGTGGGACGAGGATGACGATATTAAGTCCAGAGTAAAGCAGAAGTTCAAACGTGAGTCTGACGACTTCCTCGGTCAGACCATCATCGAGGTACGAACTCTGAGCGGTGAAATGGACGTCTGGTACAACCTGGGTGAGTAACAAAGCAATATTTTTCCTCGAAAATATTGAAATACATTGATAAGATAAATGTAACGTTGTATTTGTGTTCTATTTACATTGCGCTCAGGTCAAGCTGTAATGCAATGCCTAAAGATCAAACTGTTTCAGCTCTGACTCCCGTTTGACCTTTAGAAATGAGACCCAAAAATGATAGAACAATTAGCGTGACATATTACATGGGCAGTGTTATTTTTGTGCAATGTTTCAAAGTAATTGACATTACTTTTTACTTTAACTAACATAGCAATGTCGTAAAATTGCCCCTTCGTAACACTATTATTGAAAGAGACTTAAAGGGATAGTTCACCCAAAAATGACAATTCTGTCATCATTTGCTCCCCCTCAAGTTGTTTCATACCTGTGTGAGTTTCTTTCTTCTGTTGAACACAAATTAAGCTATTTTGTACAATGTCAGTAACCAAACAGCTGATGGGCCCCATTGATTATTTTTTCGTAACACTTTATTTTACAGTGTCCCTGTTACACATTTTAGATGTAATAACAGTCAATTATGCATAGTTACATGCAACTGACCCTAAACCAAACCTTAACCCTAACCCTAATTATAAAGTAAGTACATGTAGTTAATTACTATTACTTAATACTTAATTGTATGATTACACTGTAACAAGGACACCTTAAAATAAAGTGTAACCTTTTTCCATACTAAGTCTTCCATACAACTGTTTGGTTACAAACATTCTTCATAATATCTTTGTTGGTGTTCAGTAGAAGAAACATATTCATACAGGTTTGGAACAACTTGAGGGTGAGTAAATGATGATTGATGATTTAATTTTTTCGCGCTTCTAAAATCAACACTAGAACGGTACATTTACCAACTTCATTGTGCTCCCTTTCAGACAAGCGTACAGACAAGTCTGCTGTGTCGGGAGCCATTCGTATGCACATCAGTGTGGAGATTAAAGGAGAGGAAACCGTAGCTCCGTACCACGTCCAGTACACTTGCTTGCATGAGGTCAGTCTGATTCTACCATGATCATGTTTGTCTACCTCATTTTCCACCTATGGCCATTTATTAACAAGCTACATAGTCCCTGCTAGAGTGTATCAAATTAATGCTTAGCATGAACACCCTCTTTCCATAGAACCTTTTCCACTATTTAACGGACATCCAGAACAACGGGGTGGTGAAGATACCAGATGCCAAGGGTGATGATGCATGGAAGGTTTACTTCGAAGAGACGCCCCAAGAAATTGTCGATGAGTTTGCCATGCGTTATGGAGTGGAGTCCATTTATCAAGCCATGACGTATGGTTGTCCCCGCAATTTTGGCATTGATGTTTTACTTGTTTACTTAGGTACTTATGTACTTTTTGTACCTTCTTGTTTCTAGACACTTTGCCTGCTTGTCATCAAAGTACATGTGTCCTGGAGTGCCTGCGGTCATGAGCACCCTACTGGCCAACATCAATGCTTACTACGCTCACACAACCCAGGCCACCAACAATGTATCTGCCTCAGACCGTTTCGCTGCCTCTAACTTTGGGGTGAGTGCTTGAGCCAACTCAATGTCACCACATAGCGAAAATGTCAGCATTAAAGTGTTTGCGCCAATGACTTGTGGTGGTTTCTTGTGTGTTTTCTGTAGAAAGAGCGATTTGTCAAGCTTCTGGACCAGCTCCACAACTCTCTGAGGATTGACCTCTCTATGTACAGGGTATTGTGATTTTTGGGGGTTTTGTATGTTTTCTTGATTTTGTAGTAAGGATCATTTTTTATGGCGTTTCCAGCAAGTGAGATCATCCAGTCGGACAAATGAGAATGATTAGTCTGAAGCGACTACATAAAGTAGTATTAAAAGCATAAAGTAGTATCTAAAATGTATAAAGTATAGTATTGATGACACCCCTTCTTGTGTCTCTTAGAATAATTTCCCAGCTAGCAGTCCTGAGAGGCTACAGGACCTCAAGTCTACTGTGGACCTACTGACCAGTATCACATTTTTCAGGATGAAGGTTAGTTGTGAATCCCTGGCGCTGTTGACAGTGTAAATTTGGTTGTATATTGAAGCTCTATTTGATGCTTTGTGTCAACCTAATATCATCCTAAAATTTGTGTAAAAATTTGTGTGTGTGTGCGATTATTATTGCAGAATATTTGTGTATGATTTTCTCATCTTCGTATGTCCGTATGATTTTTTTTTTCATATAATTTTTTTGATTCAAGATTCAAGAGTTTATTGTCATATGGACAGGAAACTCTCTGTTACACTATACAATACATTCTTGAAATTCTTATTTTTGTAAGGTGTTTTTTTAATGATTTTCATAACATTTTCTTTTACTTTGCGTTTTTTGGAAAATTGTCTTGTCTCGTACAATTTTCGTACAGTGTTCTTGTTCCGTAAGGGTTTTCTTTTTTGATTTTCATACAATTTAGTTTGTCTTTGCCATATATGTTTTTCTTTTTCTTTTCTTGTCTTTGTAAAAAAAATGTAAGATCTTTTTTTTATTTTAATAAAATTTGTATATGATTTTCTTTTCTGTATGTTTTAGTGCTGTCAAATCGATTTATCACGATTAATCAAATCAATTAATCACGATTAATCGATTTGACAGCACTTGTATGTTTCTTTTACTCTGGACAATTTTCAGGTTTTATCAAATTTTTGTACAGTTTTTTTTTTCCATATGCGAGATCTTTTAAGATTTTCATACAACTTTCTTTTTCGTGTGATTTCTGTATGATTTTCATACCACTCTCTTTTCAGTTTTTTGTGTGATCTTTTTTCTTTTGAATGATTTTAAATACCTTCAATATTAAAAGTTTTGTTCATACAGTAGCTGAATTATCCTTCTGAATCAGGGTATCCGCGGGGTCTTGAAAAGTATTAAAAGGTGATAAATCAATTTTGGGAAAATTAAGACCCTTAAAAAGTATTAAAAAGTCTTATCACGGCTTTATAAAGTCTTAAATTTTGAAAGTATTTTTTCTAGGGATGCACCGAATAATAGGCCGCCGAAAATAGCCCAAAAGTGCATTTTCGGTTTTCGGCCGAAAGACTTTTATCACCGAAACAATACGGCCGAAATGTTGTGATGACGCAAACAGAAACCGCGACCTGCACGTGCTTGTCTGAAGCAACATGTCTGCGGTGTGGACGTATTTCAGTATATCTGAACCCGCGAGGAGACGGAAGCCAATTGTTTATACTTTCGCCTGCCTCTGCAGCGCGAGTCTCCACAGACAGCGCGCGCACCGCTCCAAACGGTCGAGGCGTTTATTGACGCGCTCGCTGTTGTACTATTCTTTGAAACGACAGGGAGCTACTCAAGTAACTGTCCTGGCTCTAACCATCAGGAATCGGTGAGAAGAAGAAAGATAAACACGTGACAATGTTTATTTTTTAGTATGGTACAGCTAGTTAAACAATTGTGACAGTGGCGGGGTAGGTTGTAACACGTGTTTTGAAAGTGTTATTGTGTTAGTGTATAAGTCCATTGTGACTTAAAATGCATTTCATTTGTTTGTTCTTGTCACCATTTGACGTAAAATGCATTTCATTTGTTTGTTCTTGTCACCATTGTGACTTAAAATGCATTTAATTTCTTTGTTCTTTTTCACCATTGTGACTTAAAAATGCATTTCATTTGTTTGTTCTTGTCACCATTGTTTACACATGCACAAACACGAAATATGCACATACACCCCCCATATTCACACATATTTTATTGTTGCAGCCATTCATTTAAAATAAAAATGATGTTGTGGCATATCACTTGGAATACCCTTAGTTTTTGTGCATTTTGTCTACCTGTTACAACTTACCCCAGTATGTGTTACAACCTACCCTAGTAGTGGGGTAGGTTGTAACAAAGGACCACCTTGTATTCATGATCATCTCACAAAGTCTGTGATATATTTTGAAGAAATTTAAATTGTTGCCATTTGTAGTAGACAAATATGGGTACTTTGCCTAAAAGTTTCAGACGTGTAGCTAAAAAAAAAGGTTGTTTTAGGTGCTGAAGAAAAAAGTGTTACAACCGTCCCCGGTCTCCCCTACCACCACCAATAGAAAAATAATCATGTAAAACCCAGTAAACCCTGAGATTATTACTTGTGACGTTACAACAAAATATGTATAGGAATATGTATTAAATTAACGCTCTCTTAAATATTTTCAAATTTCACTAAACATATTTCATTAAGTTTCGTGTACATTTGTATTAAACATGGACCTTTGTCCATTAAAATGGCTTTTTATGCTAGTGTATGCTCATTTTTAAAATGTAATCAACTAATTTAGACGTGCAAACTGGGTGCTGGTGTGATGAGAAGTTCGTGCTCGGCTTTGTTTTTATGAGAGAACATTTCATTTTAAAACCTTTCTGCAGGCCAGCAGATTATTATTTAATGTACACATGAGTGGGGTCAAGTTAAACATTTTGGTTTGAATTTTATTTTATACTGTGCATTGTGCTAAATAAATATTTGCATAATTTGTAATTGATTTATTCTTTGAAAATGTTAATTTATGCAATTACAATGCCTTGATTTTAGTAAAGTTTGTACACAGTCATAACCACAAATGCAATGGTACTAATAATTGGCATAATTTCTTTCGGTGTTTCGGTTTTCGTTTTTTCTGCCTTGGGTTCCTCTTTTTCGGTTTTCGGCCAAGAATTTTCATTTCGGTGCATCCCTAATTTTTTCTGAATTAGCTGTCCAACATTTTGAGTCCCAAAAACATCGTAAAAGTGTGTAAATTTAGTCTTTTTTATTTTTTTTTTAAACGAAGAACTGAGGCACATGTCAGCATGATTGTTGTTGAGGGTGGAGCAAAGTTTTGTTTTGTTTTTTAATAAACTTTGCTTTGATTTACTATACCAGCCTATTTGATTTTTTATTTTTTTTTATCAGAGTGGTCTATAGTCTTTATCACAAACTAAAACTGTTAAGTTAAAAGTATCACTGATGTAAATGGTTACAGCTTGAAGTGGCGGTGAGGTATTAAAAAATATTGAGAAGGTCTTGAAAAAGTCTTGAAAAGGTATTAAAATTAACTTCAAGATTCCTGCATATACCCTGTGAATGGACCATGAACCCTTCTTCTCTAGGTCCAAGAGCTTCAGAGTCCTCCTCGTGCCAGCCAGGTAGTGAAGGACTGTGTGAAGGCTTGCCTCAACTCTACCTACGAATACATTTTCAACAACTGCCATGAACTGTATAGTCGAGAATACCAAACAGACCCGGTGAGTCGACACTCCCTGGCCCAACAACCTTGATAAGCCACAAAGCTTTTTGCCTCGGGAGAATCCAAGTCATTTTATCAGTGCAATTCATCTTGCAGCTTTTGTTTATGCTGCTTTGAAGCTGTTACAGACTCCCTTCATAAATATCAAACACTCTTCCTGTTGAATTAAACATCTCGCCCTGGGCTACTTACTATATTTTGCTGCAAAGCTTTGCAGGATTGTTCCATATCTTGTTCCCCTGGAGTAGTTGGCATATTTTTGCTTGTTTGCTTGCTGGCTGAAATAAGACATTCCTGTTGTGCGCTTAGTAGGGTAATTTCTTCCAGAGTTTGGCAGATTATGAAAAGACATAATGTGCATTGAGCTTTCATTAGATTTCAAAATGAATTCTTTCTGTGCAGAGCAAAAAAGGAGAGGTTCCTCCAGAGGAACAAGGTCCAAGTATCAAGAATTTGGACTTCTGGTCCAAGCTAATCACTCTCATTGTTTCAATTATTGAAGAGGATAAGAACTCCTACACCCCCTGCCTTAACCAGTGAGTCCGGCACCATGTTATTTCACAAAATCTCCTAATGTACCTTCATAATCCTGTTTAGGATCTTAATATCGCTTGCTCTGGTCCACACAGGTTTCCCCAGGAGCTCAATGTCGGAAAGATCAGTGCAGAGGTTATGTGGAACCTGTTTGCCCAGGATATGAAGTACGCAATGGAGGGTGAGTCTAAGCTAAGGGACTTTTCTTCACCTTTAATTCATTTATATGGCTCTTTACACAATAAAGATTGTTTCAATGCAGCTTTACAGTCATAAACAGGAAAGTAACAATCAGTGATGCACACTTCATCAAATATGGGACACATTCTAATTCTAATTTACTTTGAGTCAGTTCAATGTTGATTCAGTTTAGTTCAATAACTGAATCTAATTCGAAACTAATTCGATTCAGCCATAAAGCAGCTATACAGAAGACAATGGTGTCATCATCCAGCTTAATTTAGTTCAAGTTTTGTTCTCATCTGATGTGTCAGTGCAGTCAAATTGATAATATTACTAAATATTAAGTGTCTTTTAAACCCCAACTTTTCTGGATTATTATCTTGTTTTTGTATGGATTGATCATTCATTTTGTAGAGCTATATATCAGTATCGAGACTCCACAACCTCATGATATTTAATTATATTGATATTAATGATATTAAAGTTTCAGCTCAGGCCTTGAATGATCATAACTTGACTAACAGGTGAGATGCAATAAAAAAAGGTTATTTTAGTTAGAAACTCAAGCATTGTGGGGTTTCTCACTGATAGCCACTTAAATTTCACACTTGGTGAAAAGTTGACATGTGGTGGAGTTCTTCTCATCTGCTGATTCAGTAGGGGTCCTCCACTCTGGATAGATGTATTATGTGCTGTTAAATCTTCTGTTTCATGAAGAGCTTTTGTCTTCACCTCACGGTTTTCAGAGCATGAAAAGAACCGCCTGTGCAAGAGTGCCGATTACATGAACCTGCACTTCAAAGTAAAGTGGCTTTACAATGAATACTGCAAAGACCTGCCTTTCTTCAAGAGCCGAGTGCCTGAATATCCTGCGTGAGTGGCATCTCACACACAAAAATTATGTCAGGCACGCTCAAAATGTCACTGTGACCATGGTATGATGGGTAATAAAGCTTTAGGTGGTGATGTTACTCTGCAGGTGGTTTGAGCCATTTGTCATCCAGTGGTTGGATGAGAATGAAGAGGTGTCTAGAGACTTCTTGCATGGAGCCCTGGAGCGTGACAAAAAAGATGGGGTGAGATTTATTTCTCTTGCCTTTTGCTTCCTAGCTTCAAGGCCATTCGATGCAGGTTCAAGAAACATCATAGTTTATAAATCAATAAGAAAATATCTATGCTTAACACACAAAATAAAAATAACTATAGTTTTTTTCATTATTGTTGTTGTTTTCCATAATGGAAAAAAGTAAGAATTTCTGAGAAATGTTTTATTTATTTTATAATTTACTGTAAACTTTTCTTATTATTTAGCTTACCTGCTGTAATAAGTTACAGTTACTACAGACCTCTAGCCTGCAGCCAGACATGTCAAAATTTGATGAATGAGTGCCCTCGGAGAACCTCAGCCTGTTCCTGAACCAATAAGCACGCTCTTTAGTTCATTAGTTCCACCGAGCCCCCTTTGGGAACCTGTCACAGTCTTACCTCAACCCAATTATTTCCAGACGAAAGAGCTCACACCTGATGTCTGGTCGCAAATTGCTTGTGCGGTCTCTTACGCCTTCTATTCTAGAACTTTTTCTGACCGCACATCCAACTCTTTCTTTCCTACAGTATCAGCAAACTTCAGAGCACGCTCTCTTCTCCTGTTCAGTAGTGGATGTCTTCTCGCAGCTTAACCAGAGCTTCGAGATCATTAAGAAGCTGGAGTGCCCAGACCCACAGATTGTTGGACACTACATGAAGAGATTTGCAAAGGTCCTAAGCAGACACTTCTCTTTTTATTTTAGGACTTTCATTATCATTCCATTTACTTTCAAACTGACGTAACGTCAGTGAGTAAAAGTCAAGTGCTTAGCCGAGATTTTGGTCGCAAACTTTGGTAACCTACTGCAAACCAAAACCAGTTTTGCCCTTAAACGAAATACATTTTTTATTACATCAAACAGCAACATTATTGTAAAAAAAAAAAAAAAAGGCAGTTTGTACCTGGCTTAAGATTAATGAATCATATGAAGGAAATTGTTACATAAGTTAACTAAAGGCTTGAATACACTACACAACTTTTAAAATCGGAGCCAATTTTAAAACAATAGCCCCAGGTTTCACAGAAAACGCTTAAAGGGATAGTTCACCCAAAAATGAAAATTAAGTCATTAATTACTCATCCTCGTGTTGTTCCAACCACGTAAGACCTTCGTTCATCTTCGGAACACAAATGAAGATATTTTTGATTAAATTTGAGAGCTGGATCACTGCTACATAGGCTTCCTAAGGGAGTGAAACTTGACGGCCCAGAAAGTCATTGAAGAAAATGTTTAAATAGTCCAAGTGACTACAGTGGCTCAACTATAAGTTTATCTATAAGTAGTCACATGGAATATTTAAACATTTTCTTCAATGACTTTCTGGGCCGTCAAGTTTCACTCCCTTAGGAAGCCTATGTAGCAGTGATCCAGCTCTCAAATTTAATAAAAAATATCTTCATTTGTGTTCCGAAGATGAACGAAGGTCTTACGGGGTTGGAACAACATGAGGGTGAGTAATTAATGACTTAATTTTCATTTTTTGGTGAATTATCCCTTTAAGTCTAGTCCCGGACTAAAATGCATATTTGAGCTGTTTTAACTGAAAGCAACTTGCACTGACATAAATTATGTTAAAATATGTCAGTGTCGTCGTTTTCAAGATTCACACCAGTTTAAGTACGTTTATAAAAGCAACTTAATTTCCCTAATTGAACTAAGGCCTAATCCTGGCTTAATCTAAGCCTTGTCTGTGAAACCAAGGCATCATACGCTTGCTGACTTTGTAAAGGGTTAAAGAGAAAAACTGGGCATCATACACTTAACACTGAGGATCACATACTACCAGACTTTTCAAGTCATTCTGAAATTGACAAACTCACACATGAACATGCGCCTTATTGCTCAGAGATGCATTACAGATGAAAACAATGTGTTCTCAAATCAGCTCAAAATATCAAACATGTCAAACCATCATACCCTACGTGATTTTCTTTGGACCTCAACTGACCAAAACCTGCAGACAGACTTTGACTTTCGGCAACTAGTGTCAATTCCTCCAGACTGCAAATTGGGGCAAAAAATCTGTGCAAAAGTCGTGTACTGTAGTGTATTCCAGTCTTTGGTGAATGTGATTTCACCAGGTATAACGTGGTCCTGGGTCAAAATCTTTGTTGATCCTGGAACAACATTCCGATCAACCAATCAGATTTGAGGGTCAAGTTTACAGTTTACGTCAAGTTTAGGCTTGCAACCAGGGTTAGGTGCTTCTACATTAGTGTAATTCACCTATCATTTCCCTCTGATTTTAGGGATAACTTATGGGTAGGGATAGGATTAGGACTATGTTTATGGACAGGAATGTTGTTCCAGGATCAACACAATATGTTGATCCAGGAACATGTCTTACTTGGCAAAATCAAATGACCCCAGTCTTTAGCAACATTAATATCTGTGAAATAGTTCTGCATTGTCATGAGATTTGTTATAATGTGATCTTTTTATCCCACAGACCATTAGCAACGTTCTGCTCTCCTATGCGGACATTATCTCCAGGGATTACCCCAACCACTGCACCAAGGAGAAAGTGGTAATAGTCTAAAAAGCCCTGTGGAATCAGGTTTATATTGTTGAAATAGTTTCATTCACAATCCAGAATTTAACCCATTCGATTTGTGTTTCTCTTTCTTTGATTCTAGAATGCAAAGGATGGTGCTGTCAAGGTCTGTAAATCTGATATGGGTAGAATATGCCATGCAGTTTACAATAAAGAGTCTTTGTACTCTTTTATAGTGGTTTGAGTTAGTCTTATTGATTTCAGGCTTTTTAATTAGCGCTTTTGCTCCACACAGCCATGCATCCTCATCAACAACATCCAGCAGCTCAGGGTACAGCTTGAGAAGATGTTTGAGGCCATGGGAGGTAAAGATGTAAGTGAACCACAAATCTGCCGACATTAATTTAGCAAAGCATGGATTCCCGGAGACTTACAACCTTCTGAAAGCATGGTCAAGTTCTGGTGGTTTTGACCATTGCACCCAAAAATGAAAACTTATCCCATAATTTACTCACCCTCAAGCCATCCTAGGTGTATATGACTTTCTTCTGTAAGCCAAACACAATCAGAGTTCTATTAAAAAAATATCCTGGCTCTTCCCAGCTTTATAATGGGAATGAATAGTAACTGAGATTTTGAAGCCCAAAAAAGCGCATCCATCCATCATAAAAGTAATCCATATGGCTCCAGGGGGTTAATAAAGGCCTTCTGAAGCCAAGCGACGCGTTTTTGTAAGAAAAACTTTATAAACTATAATCACTGCCTTCCGGTAATGGCAGTATCCGAGTCTAGTTCCAGCGGAAGAGTGACCTCTGACCCGACGCATGACGTATTGACGAACTGCAGAGGATTGAGCAAAACAAAACACCGGTCACTAATTAAAAGTCTAAAACGAGAAGTTTTAAAGAGAAATGTTGGAGGAGCTTGAGTTTGTTGCCCAGCGCTATTAGTTTGAACCGCTAGAGGCGTCGACTCTCACCTGAGCTTACGCTACTCCTACATCCTACGTCATGCGTCGGGTCAGAGGTCACTCTTCCATAGGAACTAGACTCGTGTACGGCCTTTACCGGAAGCCAGTTATTATAGTTTATAAAGTTATAAATACAGATATTTTTCTTACAAAAACACATCGCTTCACTTCAGAAGGCCTTTATTAACCCCCTGGAGTCGTATGGATTACTTTTAAGATGGATGGATGCGCTTTTTTGGGGCTTTTAAATCTCAGTTACCATTCACTCCCATTATAAAGCTTGGAAGAGCCAGGATATCTTTAATATAACTGACTGTGTTTGGCTGAAAGAATAAAGTCATATACACCTAGGATGTCCTGAGGGTGATTTTTGGGTGGACTAACCCTTTAATGTCCCTTTCAGTTGAACGTTGAAGCTAGTGACATTTTGAAAGAACTCCAGGTGAAGCTCAACAATGTTTTGGATGACCTTGCAAGAATCTTTGCCACCAGGTGAGGTACCTAGGGATCAGGAAGAAATAGCTTTTTTGCTCTATTTTTGGAGTAACATCTGTTCCCCACCTTGTTCTCCCACTAGTTTCCAACCAAACATCGAAGAAAATGTCAAGCAGATGGGTGACATACTTAGCCAGGTGAAGGGGACAGGGAACGTGCCAGCAAGTGCTTGCAGCAGCGTTGCACAGGACGCAGACAACGTCCTCCAGCCCATCATGGACTTCCTTGACAGCAAGTAAGATGCTAATTTAGATTTAGATGTCTTCTTGAAAATTTCACACTTCCACTTCCAATCTTACCTTTATTTTCCTGTCAGCCTCACGCTGTTTGCCAAGATCTGCGAGAAGACAGTCTTAAAGCGAGTACTGAAGGAGCTTTGGAAACTGGTCATGAACACAATGGAGAAGACGATTGTTCTGCCGCCTTTGACTGACCAAACGGTAATGAGCTGTTTAGAACTTCATCGAAAGCAGATTTCTGAGAAATACTACATGTAGAAATCTTTTTCTATAAATGTGAAGATTGTTTACAGCATTGTATTTTCTGGTATGGATCATGAAGACTCAGAAGGACTGGAAATGTATCTCCTCTTGCTCAACAAAACATATCCCTTTCCCAAATCAAATCACCTTGGACGAAAGACACATCTTTCCACTCTAAAAACGTTGGGAGTGCACCATATCATTCAAGCACCTCTTGAGACTGCTCTCTGGTCCTGTAGTCATACAGTTGTACATTTCATGTATATTAATCTTGACTAAAAAGTTTTATTAACTCTATTTCAACAGTTTTGAATCCTAGTTCATTTTTGAGAGCATTTCTACAGGAACAGAGACAACTTACTGCTTTTGATTTGTCTTGATATAACTGTTATTCTTTTTGTATTTTTGTTTGTATTTGTTTATTTACACAAAAGAGACCCATATCAGTTCTTTCAAAGATTGAACATTAGAACGGGAAACATCTCCCTATTGGCCTAGTTAACCAGTTGCCAATTGCTGTTATGCTAATTGTAAAAGGCCAAAAATTTATGGAATAATTCACTCAAAAATGTCAGTTCTGTCAACATTTACTCATTCCAAACTGGTATGACTTTTTTTCGTCTATGGAAGCAAAAGGAGATGTTTTGAAGTATGTTCACGCTGTTCTTTTTTCTACAACGAAGGCGCTTTCCTGTTTCAAAAAGGACATTATAAAAGTGGCCCATATGACTTAAGCACTTTATTCCAAGTCATACAATGGTTTTGTGTAAAGAATTAAAGAAAATTTCAGTTTGGTAAACCCCAACTTTGAATATGCAGAAATTTTAATGAGGTTTGAGAGCTACTGCAAATGATAAGTTAGGACATTGCTTCAGAAGACTTGAAATGTAGCACATAAGTCGTATGGGCTTACATTTATTTATGTGGCTTTTATGTCCATTTTGTAGCTTAACTTGGTCCTCATCCACTTTCATTGAATGGAAAAGAACAGCTTGAACATTCGTCAAAATTTTTCCTTTTGTGTTTCAAGGATGAAAGAACATACCGGGTTTGGAACATGCTGAGAGTGAGATTTTTTCATTTTCAGCTCAATTATTCCTCCAGACTAAGCCAGATTTAGTCCCTCGGGCAAAAAAAGACCTTGGGACTTGGCGTAATATTGTATCAGGCCCGAAGCCGGTCCTGTAGACTGAATGTTAATGCTTCTTTTGATTTGATGTGGGGCTCTTTGTAGCTTCACTGACCCTTCTCTCTGGTTATTACATTCTCGCTCTCCCCCCGCTCCACCTCCACAGATGATAGTAAGTACCAGAGCACTTTTGTCTGTGCGTCTGTATGTCCCGCAGTCCGTCCACGCTGGGTGACCCCTTCCCACCACCTCCTTCTGCTCTGTGTGGCTGCCATGTCCTCCCTTCCTCTTGTCCAATGCATCCTCATTCACCTGTCACGTCTTTCTCTCACTGTCTCTCTCTTCTCTTCTTGGTCCATCTCCTCTCCTTTCCCTGGCCACCTCAGTGGTCTGTATACCCGAGGTGGCTGCAGCATGGTGCATTTCCTAATTGACTTGAACAAGGCCCTTTTCCGATTCCCACCCCAACGAAACTTCCAATCTGATGTCCGCCTCACATATGACTGCCAACCCCTTCCTCTACTCATTCTCCTGGAAGCGACACTCTTTTGCTTCCAGTCCGGTGTCCATGGTGGGTCTATTATCTGGTTGACGTTAACCGGTTTCAGATGGTCCACCCTCCCCGTCTCTGTCACCTGTTTGAAACCTCTCCTCTGTGGGTTGTTGCTTGCGTCTGATCTTCACCTCAACTCCCGAGCCTCTCTTTTTAGTCTCTGCAAGACATTATTCTGTCAATCTGTCCTGGTATTTGGTTTTTTCGTGTTGTTGTACCAAAATTGGCCTGATCGAACGCTGAGGTCTCATACTGATGTCTGTTTTGGCTTATTGTAAGGCTTGAGAATTTTTAATTAAGTCCATAAAATGTATTTTAACAATATATTCTAGTTGTCAGTTGTTTGTAAGAAAGAAAATATATATATATAGTCATTTTACAGTGCAAATATTGTTTGTTTGTTTTTTGCTCTGCCTGTTTCAATCCATTAGCTTTCATATGAAGATGTTTTCATCATTTTCTTTCCAGAGTTGCTTTGAAAGAATTTCATAGTTTTTACCTTTGCTCAGTTTAGTTGGTCCTCTTAGATTATAAAGAATACTGTACAGAAATCTAATTTAAATATTAAATAAATGAGTGTTAACTACTTTGCTTTAAAGGGACAGTTCACCCAAAAATGAAAAGTCTGTCATAATTTACTCACCCTCACGTCGATACAGAAATTCTTCTTATCTGCCATAGCAATCAAATGTCATTCACATTTGCGTATATTCAAATATGGCACGTCAAAATTGTGTCACGTCAATCAAGTCAGGAGTTTTCAGATGTCACGGTCCCCAAAATACGATCATCCAGGTATACCCCCATCCTAAAATTTAAAACTCAGCTATATATTTTTGTGAATAAAGACACAATTTATAATGTGAAAATTTAATTTTAAAATATTATTTTGGAAAATATTTAGTTTCTATTATCTTACATCATTACATTTGTTTTTACTCACAATTTCATTTGATTAATTTTATCAAATTTGCTTAGTTAAAATAAAAAATTAAAATTTCTAAACCGTTCAAAGTTTTGACACTTTTTTTTAGACTTGGCAGCTCCAGTCCCCATTCACTTTCATTGTATGGAAAATTGTGGCGTGAACATTCTATAAAACATCTCCTTTTGCGTTTCACAGAAGGAAAAAAAATGAAACGAGTTCGAAATTACACGAGGGTGCACAAATAATGACAATTTCTGTCTCTGTAACAACAAACTGTAACGAACAGCATGTTTTCCTTTTTTTTTTCTTTCTCATTTTTCATAATTTGTTTCTTCCTGAAGTTATGTGATTGGCCTGTTAGTCAGCTACTGGATATTGGACACTGTCAGCCTATTAAAGAGCGACAGGACCAATTCTCAAGTTAATTATACTATCCTCTCTTCACAGGGCAGGGTGAAGCTTGCTTGTCACAGTGATGTAAGAACTGAATCCCCTTTAGCTCAATGTGTCCTGTCTCTCTCTCTCTCTCTCTCATTCTCAGTGTCTTCTTTGTGTGACTTGGGTCCCCCTGTTGAAACAAACCGGTGGAAGCAGTGTTTTTTTACCCCTTGTTTTCAATGCAGTTGTGGGTTTCCCTATAGATAGACACCATTTATAGTTAACTATGTGCCCTTTCGAATCCTCACATAGTTCATTACAGGTGCTCGGACACTCCGGGTTAAATAATGCATGGCAGTCGCTTTAGACTCTGAGGTCTATGCTGGTCTAAGCGACTATATCTTTTTTCTGATATCAGAAATACAGACTATTTCTGTATACTAACTATTTCATTTTCCTAGAAGGACTACATTGTACATATTTGTATAATGGTATAATAAGGTGCACAAGCCTCATTCACTTAGTGATATATCCAAAGATTAAGGTATCGGCCAGTCGTAGATACTAGATATATCACCAGAGTGTTGTTGTCCGGGCTGTGGACCTATTGGTTTTGTAAACCTTTCAACTCTTGTCTCTGTCTTATGTATGTAGCTAGTGTACCGTTTAATGTTGCACAAACAGTTGTGTGTCGATGCGTGGCTGTGTGCGAGCGTGTTTGGGGTGGGGCACGCTGGGATTGTGTGAGTGTGTGTCTGACGTTTAAGACTGATTCTGACCTCTGTGATGTGGCATTTCTGTCTACAACCTTGTCGACCTCTGTGACCTGACTAATGTCCCCTCTTCTCTTCTATACCTTCTTTCTTTCTCTTTCTCGCTTCCTCCTTTTTTTTGCTCTTCTTCCTCCAGGGCACTCAACTCATATTCAACGCCGCCAAGGAACTCGGTCAACTCTCCAAGCTTAAGGTATGTTAGTTTGCTACATAAAGAAGGTGTAAGCTAGTTAGGGCCCAAGCCTTGAAAAGGCGAAGGCCCTATTGTTTTCCTAAGGATTATTATTTATTATTAGGGCCCAAGCCTTGAAAAGGCGAAGGCCCTATTGTTTTCCTAAGGATTATTATTTATTATTATTATTATTATTATTAGGGCCCAAGCCTTGAAAAGGCGAAGGCCCTATTGTTTTCCTAAGGATTATTATTTATTAGGGCCCAAGCCTTGAAAAGGCGAAGGCCCTATTGTTTTCCTTAGGATTATTATTATTATTATTATTATTATTAGGGCCCAAGCCTTGAAAAGGCGAAGGCCCTATTGTTTTCCTTAGGATTATTATTATTATTATTATTATTATTATTATTATTATTATTATTATTATTTTATCGACTATTCGGGCACTTTTGGGGCTCTTAACGTGCACGAAAACTCTTGAAACTTTGCACACTGGTCAGAACCTGCGGCCATCAGGGCCGGGCTGAAGCTGGTACCCGGGCGTGGCAGGGGGGCTCGACAGCGCCCCCTGGAACGGGGTCCGAAAACTTGGTCCATAAATCAAACACGCTTCCATGTAATAATATGAAACTCGGTACACATATAGATCTCATCGGTTCATATATCCTTTGTACTTTTACTTTTTACCCCAGCCCAACAGGAAGTCGGCTATTATGGTTTGTTTGGAAGCGTATGCCCCTGGAATTCGATATACTCCTCCTAGAGAATTCAACCAATCGCAAGGAAACTCGGTCAGCATGATGTCAAGACATTGAGGATGAAAAATTGCCAGGGGATTTTTCATATCTCGAACGGTTTGGCCGTGGCGAGGAAACGAATTTATGGCGAATAATGGAAACAGGAAGTGTGTTATAACTTCTGCATACATTAACTGATCTTGATGAAACTTCAACAGTATGTTCGCTGTAAGAGGCCGATCACATGGATGTGACTATTGTGAGTCAAAGTTATAGCGCCACCAACTGGCAGCAGGAAGTGTGTCACTTTCTAAATGCTTTTGACAAAAGTGGGGGGGTTAGTTTTATCTACAGTTACAAAACTCAGCGTGTATATTCTTCTCCTCAAGCCAAACAACTTTCTAATTTAAAGTAATTAGCTCCGACCCTCAGAAAGTCAGATATTGTGGTTTGAATAGGGTCATTTTCTCTCTCTCTCTCTCTCTGAGCCAATATGGCAAGCCGCTTTAACATTTAATCATTTTAACCTACTAGTCTCTATTTTCATGCTACTAGTACTTATTTTTAGATACTAGTATCTATTCCATTAAGTACTGGTACTTATTCATTAGCGACTAGTGCTTATTCTTTAGTACTAGTGCCTATTCTTTAGATACTAGTGCTTATTCTTTAGATATTCTTTTGAATACGTATTAGTAGCTAATGAATAAGTACTGGTATCTATTTAATAGGTACTAGTATCTAATGACTTAGTACTAGTATTTATTGAATAAATACTAGTATCTATTAATAGGTACTAGTATCTAAAAGGTCATTTTCTCTTTCTCTCTCTCTGAGCCAATATGGCAAGCCGTTTTAACATTTAATCATTTTAACCTACTAGTCTCTATTTTCATGCTACTAGTACTTATTTTTTAGATACTAGTATCTATTCCATTAAGTACTAGTACTTATTCATTAGCGACTAGTGCTTATTCTTTAGTACTAGTGCCTATTCTTTAGATACTAGTGCTTATTCTTTAGATATTCTTTTGAATACGTATTAGTAGCTAATGAATAAGTACTGGTATCTATTTAATAGGTACTAGTATCTAATGACTTAGTACTAGTATTTATTGAATAAATACTACTATCTATTAATAGGTACTAGTATCTAAAAGGTCATTTTCTCTTTCTCTCTCTCTGAGCCAATATGGCAAGCCGATTTAACATTTAATCATTTTAACCTACTAGTCTCTATTTTCATGCTACTAGTACTTATTTTTTAGATACTAGTATCTATTCCATTAAGTACTAGTACTTATTCATTAGCGACTAGTGCTTATTCTGTTTAGAATATTCAAAGTGCTTATTCAATTTTTTTGCTTATTTATATTTTCAGAGCAGAAAATCCGATTTTTCTGCTTATTCAATATTGCATCTAAAAATGTAAGTGACTTGACGTGTGTGTGTGTGTGTGTGTGAGAGAGAGAGATGTGTCTGTTACAGTGACAAGAGTTTAACCCTTTAAGGCCTTGTCTTTTTGGATATATATTTTTTTTATTAAAAAAAATTTGCATACAACCCATATATTTTAAATGTATTGTTTGCTTTAAATTAAATTAAGATTGTATGTTTGGTAATTGAACCTAAATAAATTTTAAATTAATGTGCTATATTTCAGATCAATATATTTGTTTTCCTTCATTTTAATCAACACTAACTTTATTCTCATCTGAATTATAAAGAATTTATTTCTGTATAAAATAAAAAATCCCGAATAATCCAGACCAACCAGAGCGCACTATTTCTACAACATCATCAGTGCTGAAGCGAAACTACCAGAGCCGTTCGGCAGATAGCAAGCAGATATTTTGTGTCACGTCGTGCACAATAACCCTAAAGGCACCAGGGTGGCGGTGCCACCGGCTTTATATATATATATATATATATATATATATATATATATATATAAATATAGCTGCGAGCAGCGATTACGGGCCCAAGCCGGTGGCACCGCAACCCCGGTGCCTGATCTTGATTAAACTTCAACAGTGTGTTCGCTGTAAGAGGCCGATCACATGGATGTGACTACTGTGAGTCAAAGTTATAGCGCCACCAACTGGCAGCAGGAAGTGTGTCACTTTCAAAATGCTTTGAAATCACCCTCTTATTTTTACCCGATTTGCTTCAAACTTGATGTGTATAATGTAGACACTCGCCAGATGTAGACCTGTGAAAGGATTATTGATATATTAGATACTGTTGCCATGGCAACGCATCAAACTTTAATATTCTTTTTGGATGCTTTTGAGACTCTTAGCATGCCTGAAATTGCTTAAAATTGCATGAAACTCGACAGACAGATCACATTTATTAGCCAGTAGACATGTGCAAAGTTTCAGAAACGGGCGTGGTGCAGGGGCTCAGTAGCGCCACCTTTTGTGACAAAAGTGTGTGTGGGGGGGGGGGGGGGGGGGGGGTAGTTTCATCTACAGTTACAAAACTTTTTCAACTTGATGAAAATACATTAAAGATGCTAAATTGTGAACGGATATTGAATATCTCAAACGGTTTTGCTATGGCGAGGGATTATGTCAAAAAGAGAATCAGGAAATGTCTCATATCTTTCTAAAATGTAATTATACACCATTTATTTTTCTATAAAATTATACTAATATTAGAACTAAACCCATTGAATTCCTTTTTTTCAATTTAAGATTTATGTTTAAGTTTAAAAACAGCCAGAATGGTTGTTTAGCCAAAAAAATAAAAAAAATAAAAATCATTCATAGTGCTTTACTGCCCTCTTGTGTTCAAAATCAGGTAGGCCAATTGTATTAAATTGTAGGGATGCTACTATGGGAATATTTTTCCACCGTGACTCCGCTGGGGGCTTTAAAGTCGCTAACTTGAAAGCGAAAGTAACGGACGTCTCCACAAGACGTGCAGCTGTGAGCATTTTCGTTTCATTTTAAAAGAAGCCCCATTTCGGGGGCGGATTTCTTGAATGTATTTTACAAAATCACAATGTTGTGTTTGATTGCGAGTATCCAAAAATAAGTAAACACTTTGCAGTTTGAATGATCTTCTTGAATAAAATGACGGAGTAGCCAATGTTTCCACTGTTCGATCGCGGACGTCCACACGGACATTGATAATGGTGGCGCGTGCAGAGCGCTCGAGGGAATTCCTATGGAAGTAGGAATGAACTAAAAAACGTTCACTCTGTTCTGCTCGCTCATCGTCGTGGACGCGCAGCGTTATGAATGCCCGTGTGATGCAGCATAACACAGCAGAGAGAGACGCTCACTCTCAACTCGTGATTAATGAAATTTGACTCCGGTTGCTGATCTTTGCTGCAACTTTCGTTCAGCTCACAATTTAGTAAGCAAACCCGTTCAGGTTTTAATTGTAGTGACTAAATGATTTTATTAAACACACACACACACACACACACACACACACACACACACACACACACACACACACACACACACACACACACACACACACACACACACACACACACACACACACACACACACACACAAACACACACATCAAATTGACGGTGGGGGGCAATGGTATATTTAAATCTGCAAATTGTAATATATGCAGGGCACCCCGGTCCAGTCTTATTAAATGTATGCTTCATCTTTCATTTTTAATTTGTAAATTTGATCAATAAATTCAATTATTTAGAATGATAAGACACTATATGGCTTTTACTCTAGGTAGGGCTGATCAAATTAAATCGTTTACACTGAAAAATAACAATGCATTAAATAATATTATGAGATTGTTTTAAATATAAGTCAATTAAAAATCGTTGGGAAGAATGATACTTTTACAGTTTTTTACAATCACTTTGCTACTATTTTCAGAACCTTGATGTAATTTTTCAAAACTCTAGACACAAAACTCAAAACGATAATCACTTGTAACACAGGCTGTCTAATGTTCAAAACATTGCATTGTGCATTCACATCTTTAAAGAAATCTTGCACTTGCACAATCATTGGTTCAAAAAACAAATTAACTGTGAAATACCATTGAAACATAACTATAGATCACCCACACACAAGCAACCGATAGTTTCACTGTGTCATTGTTCGTACAATCATTAAATATTGTAGAGCAAAATAGGTGATACAGGTTTCATTATGGTACTACATGTACAGTAAATACATCTCTGTAAAAGTACTGCAGTAGTAGAGAGAATATTACAGACACAGTGGAATCATTGTGAACAAAGTTTGTAATATATTGATGCAAAACACTACAGTACAATCACAACATGGT